AGCCAAAAAATGGGGAGAGAAATTGAATAGGCACTTCTCTCAGGAAGATAAATGATGGTCAATAGGCACAGGAAAAATTGCTCATCATCACTTATTATTAGGGAAATCCAAATCAAGACAATGAGATGTACACTATATTCATTGCAGCACTTAGTATGATGGCTAAAATATGAAAGCAACCTAGGTGTTCAACAGATGAGTGGATTATGAAGGTGTGTGTGTATATACACACACACACAATGGAATACTATGCAGCTGTAAGGAACAATGAAATCATGCAATTCACTGCAACTTGGATGGAACTGGAAGATATCATTTTAAGTGAAGTAAGTCAGAAGGACAAGCAGTATGCTCTCACTTATCTGTGGTCTATAGAGAAGCTGAACAAGAAAAAGCAACGTATTAAAGGGAGGATGCCTAAATCAACCTTGACCTCAGAATAAAGGGAGGAGGACAAAGAAGAAAAGAAATTGGGGCATGGGGGCCGTTGTAAGAAGAGCCGAATGGGAAGTAACAAGTGCAGGGGTCAAGTGTCTCAGGTACATGGCATTGAGTGGTACCAAGAGTCAAGAACATTGAAAATATGAGCCCCAAATCACAACAGAACTGTGCCTGTCAGTTGAGCAGGCTTGTGGGGAGAGATTGAAGGAACTTGGGAACTCTATTGGAAAGAGGATGATACTGGTGGTGGGTTTGGTGCTAAAATTCAATTATGGATAACTTTGTAAATCACAGTCTCTTAATAAAGTTCTTAATTAGATAATTATATCACTCACTAGGAACATGTAAATAGCCAGAAGATCTCTGGGTAAAAAAATAATGAAAAAATGGGTCCGAGGGCTGGAGAGATAGCACAGCGGGTAGGGCATTTGTCTTGCACGCAGTCGACTTGGGTTCAATTCCCAGCATCCCATATGGTCCCCTGAGCACAGCCAGGAGTAACTTCTGAGTGCAGAGCCAGGAGTAACCCCTGTGCATCGCTGGGTGTGACCCAAAAAGCAAAAAAAAAATAAAATGGGTCCAAGATTCAGCAGCAGATGCATAAGTCACATTCATGAGGTCCTGGGTTCAATTTTTTGGCACGAAAGTCAAACAAAATAACAACAAAAAATACTACATTAATTCCCCTCTTCTACCTCCCCTAGTCCTTGGTAAACAAATGAATACAAAAAACTAATGAAAATTTAGCAGTACTAAAATTTGAAGCAAATTATAAGCTTATATTAAATTTTGAAATAGGACTATTTTTTTGTTTTGTTTTTAAATCACACCCAGCAGTGCTCAGGGGTTACTCCTGGTTTTTCACTCAGGAATCACTTGTGGTAATCTCAGGGGACCATGTGAGATGCTGGGAATCAAACCCAGGTTGACCGTGTGCAAGGCAAGCACCCTACCTGCTGTACTATCTGTCTAGGCCCTAAATGTGGCCTTTCCCCACCCCCCATTCAACACAGATTCCACTGAAGCTGTGTGCTATGTCACTGCCAGCACCATAGGATGTGCTATGTAGCCTACTACCTGCTGGACAGGTGAGAATATCCTAGTCATCGTGGGCACTGAGGATGACAACTGGCTCAACAACCCAAACAAACAAAAATCAAAAGTGTGAGAAATCAACTACCAATTGCAAGTCCCAGGTCCTCATGTTTCTGTTGGGCTAGGTTATAAATTTCCACCGTGTCCTCTTCAGGATGGTCAAGCACTTTGTAAACTATCTCCAGTCCCCTGCTCTTCCCCAGAACCTGGGGTCATGGTACTGAGAGTTTTATTCTATCCTATAATCATTTGTTTGGTCGTTCTAGTTACCAACGCACAACCTAAGGTGAACTAGAGGACCCACTTTAACTCATCTCATTAGAAGCCTCAGGTATATTGTAGAGCGGATTTATATGCATAACAAAAAACACTATATTACTCAAAAAAAAAAAAAACCAGTGGTTTTAGGAGCTCTATGACAGGAAGCAGAGATAAAGACATTAAAGGCTGGAGAGATAGTATAGCAGGTGGGGCACTTACCTTGCAAGTGGGCAAGTTTAATTCCTGGCATCGCATATGATCCTTCAAGCACTTCAGGAGGGATCCCTGAGCATTGAGTCAGGAGTAATCCCCAGGTACCACTAGCCAGACTGTGGTCCCAAATCAAAATCAAACCAGACAAATGACCTGTTAAACAACATCCGTTTGTGAAGAAATGTAATGTTAAAAATAAAAATTAGAGGGGGCCAGATAAAAGTACAGTGGATAAGGTATTTGCCTTTCATGTGGCTGACCCTGGTTTGATCCCTGGTACCACATATGATCCCCAAAGCTCCATCCAAGAATGAACCCTGAACACAGAGCCAAAAGTAATCCCTGAACACTGCCAGGTATGGGCCTACACATCCTCTCCCCCCAAAAGAATTATTAGTGAGATTTTTAGGGCTAAAGAGATAGTACAGTAGGTAGGCCATTGTCTTACACATGACAGACTCAGGTTCAATCCCCAACATCCCATATGGTCCCCGGAGTGCAATTTCTGAGTACAAAGCCAAAAGTAAACCCTGAGCATTACCAGGTGTGGCTCAAAAACAAAACAAAAATGAAATAAAAATTGGAGAAGGGAGAAAATATATAAACAATATTTGGACTACTTGCAACACAAAACATGAACTCTGAAAAGAAACCAAATACAAAGAGAAAAAAGTGATTAGTAGAAAATCACAGGAAAAGATTTACAAATGGCTTATATATACATATATATATGCATACATACATATGCATATGTGTATAAATGTGTATATATACATATATGTGCATACACATATATGTATATGCATCTGTATATGCCCAACTTTCCTCTTGGGAATGTTTTTTGGCCACACCCAGCAGTGATCAGGAGTAAGGCCTGGTGGTGTTCTGAGGCCCATATATTGTGCTGAAGATTTGAACCAGGTCAGTGAACTGCTATATTATCCATCAGCCTTCCCCGAAATTTCACTTTTTTTTTTCCTTTTTGGGTCACACCCGGCGATGCACAGGGGTTACTCCTTGCTGTGCACTCAGGAATTACGGCTGGCATTGCTCGGGGGACCATATAAGATGCTGGGATCAAACCCAGGTTGGTCGCATGCAAGGCAAACGCCCAATCTGCTGTGCTATTGCTCCAGCCCCCCCTCCCCATTTCACTTCTAATAAAACTTTTAGATACCATTTTTCTTGCTTTTTTTTTTTTTAATATCCAGACCCAGGATCAAGTCTGGGATGTCATACATGCAAGGCAAGTGCTATACCATTGAGCTACCTCCCAGTCCTTAAGTTAACCATTCTTCACCTATAAAATTGATATATAAAACCAATGTTTCAGGGTCTGAAATACAATCGGTAGTGCTTTTGCCTTGCACATGCCAACCTGATTCTATCCTCATCATCCCATGTGGTACCCTGAGCACTGCCAGGAATAATGCCTGAGTGCAGAGCCAGAAGTAACCGCTGAACACTACTGGGATTTGCACAGAAACAAAAAGAAAAAACGAAGAAAAAAAGAAACAGTAGGTTTCATTATATAAAAATAACTTGTGGGGTCCACGCAGGATGAAGGGTGTTTACTTCTGTCCCCAGACACTGACAATGCATATGACGCTGCTTAAAACGTTGAACTTGATTAATGCCTTTTTCCTCATTTAACTGTAGAAGAATAGCACCTATTTAAATGTTAGACACATTTGCAAAATGTCATATTTATTGTGGATCTTTTACATTCATTCTATTTTTAAAACATTGCATCAATGACTGGAGAAATCGCTTGAAGTGCTGGTGTGCACACTGTGCATGAGTAGGCCCGGGGGTTCGATCCCTGGCTCCGAGAACCATACTGGAGTCATCCCTGAGCACTGAAGTAGGAGCTTCCTCTGAGCATCACTGTGTCACCCTCCCAAATTCATATATATATATATGTGTGTGTGTATACACATTTTGCATTAATGTTACCGGAATATTATTTCAATTTAGAAAATTTGGGGATCTCCTTACAATCCACACCTCAAAACAGTGGACTTTCACCTTCATTTCTGTTCTTTTTGGTGGGTGGTTGAGGGGGTTAGGCCACACCCAGCGGCGCTCAGGGGTCACTCCTGGTGGGGTTCGGGGAAACATATTAGATTCGGCGGATGGAAAGCGCGTAGGCACGTGACAGAACCGAATCTCTAGCTTCCCCCAGTGGCATTTTTCTAAGCTGTAAACAATTTCACACTTAAAATAACAGGGCGGAGCGATAGCAGTGGGTAGTGCGCTTGCTTTGCACGTGGCGATTCCCGGCACCACCCGGAGTGAGTCCTGAGTGCAGAGCCAGGAGTAAGCCCTGAGCATCACTGGGTGTGGCCCAACGCCCACACACCCCCACCCCACAATATAAGTAAAATCCTATTATTTTTTTCTCCGTAAAAAAGATACAGTATTATTGAATACCCAGTATGGGGGCGTCAGTAAAACAAATAAAACGGGGTCGCTTTGAGAATTTTTATTCTTAAAGGAGACCCATCAGGTTTAATGAAATGTGGGTTTTCAAGCCTGCTCTGAGGTTCCAAGTACTCTGTTCCCACGCCCTGGCACCCATTCTACGGTACTTCCTGTAATGAACGAAGGTTCTCGGGGAATTTGCTTCCGTATCCGCCACCCCCGCGCTCCCCAGGACGCCTTGAAGCACGCCGCACCGTTTAGAAACAGGCGGGCGAAAGGAGCCAGAAGAGCAAAGTGCGCACTGCGACGGCCACAGCCTTTGAGGAGCGGCCGCCGGGGCTTCAGCCCCGCCCCACGCCGGCCCTCAGGCTCCGGATTGGCTCTCAAAGTTAGCTCCCGTTCGCGCGACAAGAATCCTTCCGCGTGCCCTTAAAGAGCGGGGACAGGCTCCGCCCGAGCGTGATGGCGCTGGCGACGTGCAGCCGGGAGCCAATGAGCGGCGCCCACCGCCCCGCGGCCCAATAGCGGCAGCGAAGGGCGCGCTGGGAGGGGGAGGGGGCGTGTCGGGCGCGCCGACTTTTCCAGAAGAGCCGTGGAGCGCCTTGCCACCACGCTGAACCGCCTGTGGGCGCTGCGCGCGGCTTTCTCCTCCTCTTCCTCTGCAGGTCCGGGCAATGGCGGCCGTGAAGACCCTCAACCCCAAGGCCGAGGTGGCGCGGGCGCAGGCGGCGCTGGCGGTCAACATCAGCGCGGCGCGGGGGCTGCAGGACGTGCTGAGGACCAACCTGGGGCCTAAAGGCACCATGAAGATGTAAGGCGGGCCGCCGGGAAGCGCGGACCCGGCCCCGGGAGCCTCGCGCTTCCGCGGCCCCGAAACGGGCCCGTCACTTCCGGGCCCGCGCGCGTGCGGCTGCGGCCCCCTCGGCCGCCGGCCCCGCGCCCCGTGGGCGCCCGTCCCGGCCCTTCCTCGGAGTCGAGAACAAAGCCGCCCGCGTGCGCGCCGCGACTCCGCGCGCAGACACGAGCGGGGCGTTCGCGGGGGTCCGGGGCGGGCCCCGCCGCCATCGGGTCCCGGGAGGGGAGAAGCGGCCGCGGGCCCCCGGCTCCCGGGGATCCGGGTCAGGGGGTCCCGGTCGCGGTTCTGATCGCTCTCTGGCCGTTAAACAGGCTTGTTTCCGGCGCCGGGGATATCAAACTGACGAAAGATGGCAACGTGCTGCTGCACGAGATGGTGAGTGAGTGAGTGAGCGGCTGCCATCGTGGCCAGAAATCGGGTGGTTTTTTGGTTTTTTTTTTTTGAGTTGTCGGAAGATTTCTTCTCGCGGGAGAAGAAAATCAGACTCCAGCGAGACGTTTCTGGAGGGGTGGGTAGGAAGGAAGGGATGTGGACAGTAATCGCCGTAGGGCGAGGCGTGCTGGACTCTTGGGCAGGTGCTTTTTGTTTTATTTGCATTTGCGATCCTGAAGAGAGGATTGTAATGACAGGAACATGACCGTAGTGCATTTAAAGCTTCTCAAGGGCTAGGTGGACAGGCGCTGCAGGATCGGTCACATGTACAACTCTCGGGTCTCAGCCCTTCCATCTCTAGTTGCGGAGGAGGGGGAACTGCAGTGTTTTAAAGCCCTGCGGACCAGGAGTTAGATCATCGAGCGCGGCGGTTTTCCTCGTTCTTCTTTTCCCGACCCTAGCAGTTAAGCAGTTATCACGAATGTAGTGTTGTTGCCCAAAATAGAGCCACAGATTTAGGCATGAGATAATCTGCAGGATGGCTAACCTAGAAACGGAAATTCTTTTTGCCAAAGAGAAGAATTGTTCTGGATTAAAGGACAGTTCATTCCACTATCTTCATCATTTTCCTTTTCTTCTCTTTATTTCAAATTTAGAGTATTTTCTGAGTTTTGGAGTACAGGGCCGCACTCATCACTCCTGTTGGGCCCAGGGGGACGTAGGGGGTTCTGGGATTGAAACCTGGTCAGCCCTGTGTGAGGCTTTGGCAGTACTGTCTCTGTTCTGCTGTTCCTGTCCAACCCACAGCCCCCCCCCCACACACACACACAAACTCACAACGCACCACACCACATATGTTCTCTCAGACCTGTCCAGACTTGATCCTTGAGTGTTTCGTGTGGTTCATAAAACAAGAACAGAAAATGCTCCCGCAGGGTTTCTCCTGAACTAGATTCCAATAAGACCTATCTCTTCTACATAGGGATTAAGCATCCTCCGATAATTATTACTGAGGGTTGGGGCTTTTTTGTTTTTGTCTTTATTTGCTAAATAACATTTACTACTGTAGACCTTCATTTTTATGGGGGGGGGCAGCATGCCCCTTGGTGCTCGGGACTAACTCTTAGCACCGTGCCCAGGGAGGTCCTGGTGGTCTCTGGGCCACGTGCAAGAAGGTAAGCACCATACCCACTGTATTCCAGCCCCTGGACTTGCATGTTAAAGGACACCTGGTTGGTTTATGGGCCACACCCTTCGATACACCTCTCTGTTCTCAGTATCATGTCCGATGTACTATCACTCTAGCCCCCAAGAGAATTCAAATTTTTATGTGAGATGTGGAGGTGCTGGGGGGGGGGGGCATTGCCATATGTTGGTGTCAGAACATGGATCCCCCCCTCCCCCCATATCAATCACTTCATGGGTTTCAAAACAAGTTTTTGGGTTTTTTTAATTTTTATTAATGAAACACCATGAGGTACAGTTGTAGACTTGCACTTTTTTGTGCTTGGGTTTCAGTTATACAATGATCGAGTACCCATCCCTCCACCGGTGCCCATTCTCAAAAGTTTTGGAAATAGAAATTTTTCAGATAAAATTAATTTTGGGTTGATTAAAATAATATTGTTGGACTCTTGGGCAGATTTTGCAAATTGCAGTTAAAGATGCCTTTCATTCCTTTTGTTTAGAATGTATTTGTACTGCTTTATCTTATGTTTTAATTTTTTTCCCCCTGTTTTTAGCAAATTCAGCATCCAACAGCCTCCTTAATAGCCAAAGTGGCAACAGCCCAGGATGACATAACTGGTGATGGTACCACTTCTAATGTCCTAATCATCGGGGAGCTGCTGAAGCAGGCGGATCTCTATATTTCTGAAGTATACATAATTCTATGTTTATGTGTTTTTTTTTTTTCTAGTAAATAATCTGAGACTTACGTTGTAGAGATCACATAGCAGAATGTTAAGTAGAAAAGATTTAAATGTAGGAGCCAGAATCTTTTTATCCTGGTATGATAATGTTATTGTGATTCTGAGTAACTGTCCTTGGCACAGATTAGTAATAACTAAAATGAGGACTAGGTTAAGAACTAGGTAGACATATTTACAAAGAAAGGAGCAAATAAAAGATTTTCAGAACTTTTGTTTTAGGGACCATATCTGGCTATGCTCAGTGCTTACTTCTGGTTCTGCTCAGGGATCACTTCTGGTGAGGCTTGGGGCATAGTATGGGGTGCAAGGGGTTGAACCAGGGCTAGCTGTATACAAGGAATGCTCCCTACCTGCTGTACTCCTGGTTCAAGAATTTTACCAGTTTTTAACCCTGGGTAATTAACTGTTAAAGCAAACCTTAGAAAAAATTTCCTGGAAAAAGAAAGTAAGCAAACTTAGTCTTTTTACCAGTACATAATATAAATTTCAGATTATCTATAGAAAACATAAGATAGTTCCTACTAACCACAATTTGGTATGTTGTTCTTTCTGAGTGTTTTGTGCCATTCTTGGTTGCACAGTGAACACCCAAGTGTTCTTTATAGTTCCCTTGGTTTTAACTCTGTGCTAGAGCAATGTCTGTTCTTTACCTCTGCATTGAAAGGACTGTCCTTTTAAGTGTATTCAGAAAGTCAGCACATAATAAGGAACTGTATGTTTTTTAAATTGAATTTTAGTATTGATAGTGGTTTTATAATTGTATGTTTGTTGCAGGGTCTTCATCCAAGAATAATAACAGAAGGATTTGAAGCGGCAAAGGAAAAGGCACTTCAGTTTTTGGAACAAGTCAAAGTAAGCAAGCCAATGGACAGAGAAGTACTTATAGATGTGGCCAGAACATCTCTACGTACTAAAGTTCATGCTGAACTTGCTGATGTCTTAACAGAGGTATGTGTTTGTATCTGTCTGGTAGAGAAAAACCCCAGTTTAGAAGCATTTCAGTTTATTTACCGATTTCAATTACAGGTTTCAATCTAAAGTTTTTGTTAATTGGGGTTTTTTTTGGGGGGGGTCACATCCAGCATTGCTCACGGGTTACTCCTGGCTCTGTACTCAGGAATTACTCCTGGTGGTGCTTGGGGGACCATATGGGATGCCAGGGATTGAACATGGGTTAGCCACCTGCAAGGCAAATGCCTTACTCGCTGTGCTGTGGCTTTGGCACCTCAATCTAAAGTTTGTATAGTATCATGTTGTATGAAATAGGTTCTTTGTATGGGAATGAGAACCTGATCTCTTTCCGTAAAAGATTAAATGAGAGCATCAAGTAACTATTTCCTACCCAGTTTCTGAAAGTATAATTGGAACTGTTAAAATATTTGTAAATGGAGGGGCTAGAGAGTGCAGCGGGTACAGTGCTTTGCATGTAGCCAACCCAGGTTTGATCCTTAGCATCCATATGGTCTCCTGAGCATTGCAGCATATGTGGCCCAAAAACCAAAAGGTATATAAATGGAGATTTCTTTTTCAAAAGGGAAGATTTCAGTTGAAGTCTTGCTCTTGGTGGTGGTGGTGGTGGTGGTGGTGGTGGGTGGGGCCTTAACAGCTGTTGGTGCTCAATCAAAGGATTACTCCTGGTGGGTTGGGGGGGATTGTCGAACCTGGGTGGACCACTGCAAGACAGATTTCTTACCTGCTGTACTATCGCTCTGGTCCCATTATGTTTGAAAATACGAGGGATAGTAGTACTTGGGTTATTGTGAATTAAGATTCCAGAAATGTAAATGAGTTTAATTCTTTATAAATAAAGTTAAGAAACTAAACTTACGCAGAGCAAGAAGCATGTTGCAAAGATAGTACAGGGTTTGAAGTGCCTGCCTCTGATCCCCCAACCATTGCCAGGAGTAAGTCCTGCCTTTTGCTGTCAAACAACCTCCAAAAAGAGCAAGTAGCACTTTCGATTTAATAGTTACATTTCTATTATAGGCTGTGGTGGACTCTATTTTGGCCATTAAAAAACAAGATGAACCTATTGACCTCTTCATGGTTGAGATAATGGAAATGAAACATAAATCTGAAACTGATACGAGGTAGGTGGCATAATGCCATGAGATTGTAAAGTATGCTTCTTATTGTGTGTTTGTTTTTTTATCTCAATAATAAATGTATATTGATGTCACTGTCATTGTCCTCCCTTTGTTCATCGATTTGCTTGAGTGGGCCCAGTAACATTGTGAGACTTGTTAACTCTGTTTGGCATATCGAATATGTCACAGGTAGCTTGCCAGGCTCTCCGAGAGGGGCGGAAGAATTGAACTTGGGTCAGCTGTGTCGGCCTTGTGCAAGGCAAACGCCTTACCCACTATACTATCGCTCCAGCCCCATGTTGATGTATATAAATGTATATTCTATCTAACATTTCTTTAAAATGTGTTTATTGTCAGCTATTTTGAAAGCCATATTGATGGTTTAGTGATAAGGCATGTAGCCCTTGCATGCATGAGTCACTGGATTCAATTTCTAGCATTGAAAACAAAAATTCTTCTGGGGGCCAGACTTAACAGTACAACGAACAGGGTACTTATCATGGAAGCCACCAACCTGGATTCCATCCTGAGCACTGCTAGGTATGGGCCAGAATCAAGACATTTCAGCGGGCCAGAGAGAGCTTAATAAGTTGAAGGCATGCTCTGCACAGATAGCCTGGATTTGAATGCCAGCATCGAATAGTTCCTGGATACTGCAGTGCCGAGCCCCAAAACAAAAATAAATGATTTCAGTCTAGGTCTTTGAAATAATTTAAAAGATTCTTTTTAGTTTCCTGGTATATGCTTTGCACCTAAATATTTCATAAATGCCAAAAGACCAAAGTACTTTTCCAGAATAGTTTTCCTTTTTGTTAAATCCAGGTCTTATATCCTGGCTCTGCACTCAGGTATCGCTCCTGGGCTTCGGGGGTCATATGAGGTGCCAGGGATCGTTCTTTTTGTTTTATTTTGGAGCCACACCCAGTGGTGCTTAGGGGTTACTCCTGGCTCTGTGCTCAGGACTCGTTCCTGGTACCACTCAGGACCATACAGGATGCTGGGGATCAAACACAGGTTAGCCATATGAAGGGCAAGTGCCATACCCACTGTACTTTCCTCCAACCTTGCGATTTCTATAAAAGGAAGTAACTGTGGTCAAGTTTATACTAGTTGAGGGAATCCTTGCTAAATTTTCTGTGGAAGATAGGGTTGTTACATTTGAGTAGTAAGCATATTTGGTCATATTCAGATGCTAAGTATATCAGTAAGCCCTGAGCACTGCTAGGTGTGACTCCCCCACCCCCAAAAATAAAAATAACAACTAAAGCTGATTATAACAAAAGTAAAACTAACATTTTAACAAAGTCGTTCGGTTTTAATAGTTTTGAAGGAATCATTCAGATAACTTACAGTTAATTACGGGGAAATTAGCTGTCTAGTCTCAATAGAGTGTTAATTTTTAGCCTGTACCAAACATGATAACCTCTTAGTGTCTGTATTACAAACCATAATGCCCAAAAGTAGAGAGAGATTATGGGAAATAATGTCTGCCATGGAGGCACGGGGAGGGTGGGAAAGGGGGTGTATACCGGGGATGGTGGTGGTGGGGAATGTGCACTGGTGGAGGGGTGGGTGTTTGATCATTGTGTGATTGTAACTCAAACATGAAAGCTTGTGACTGTGTCACGGTGATTCAATAAAATTTTTTTAAAAAATTTTAAAAGTTTTTTTATCCTGTGCTAAATCCCATCAAACAGAAGGTAATATTTGTTTGTTATTTAACAGCTTAATCAGAGGTCTTGTTCTGGATCACGGGGCACGGCATCCTGATATGAAAAAAAGAGTAGAAAATGCATTCATTCTCACCTGCAATGTGTCATTAGAATATGAAAAAACGTGAGTTTAAATCCCTTAAAAATGGAATAGAGGGGCAGCTTGGTGTTTGGGGCACTTTTTGAGATTCGTTTTTCCCACTGTAAAGAATGATTTTTGTTTGGTTTTCAAAGGTTAACAGTTAACTTCTGGCTCTTCTTTTGCTCAAAATGTAAACATTTTCTCTTCTGTAACTTTTTTTTTTTGCTAGAGAAGTGAATTCTGGCTTTTTTTACAAGAGTGCAGAAGAGAGAGAAAAACTAGTAAAAGCTGAAAGAAAATTTATTGAAGATAGAGTTAAAAAAATAATAGAATTGAAAAAGAAAGTCTGTGGTGATTCAGATAAAGGATTTGTTGTTGTTAATCAAAAGGTGAGGATGAAATTTTTACTTACGAACTAAGATTCTTTATATTTTGTTTTTTAAAATGAGACTGAAACTAATTTTAATTTTTGTTACAGGGAATTGACCCCTTTTCCTTAGATGCTCTTGCCAAAGAAGGCATAGTAGCTCTGCGCAGAGCTAAAAGGAGAAATATGGAAAGGTACGGGTAGCAGAGAGCTATATGATACGAATTTTACTTAGTTAACCTGGTTATCTGTATTTTTTGCATTTTTCTTTATTGTGATAAAGTACAGTAAGTCTTCAGTTATGGTAAGTTCTAACGTTCTGTTAAAAATTAGTCTTTAATTTGTATTTGTATTATCATAATCATTCCTAATTCTGTGTGTGTTAAATTTTATTTGTCCTTTTGTGGACATTAAGCTGTGTATATTTTGACTTGTGAATGATGCTGTTCTGAGTTTTGGTATATACTTGTTTGTTTTTGTTTTGGTGGCCATACTGGGCAGTGCTGAGCTGCTCCCAGTTGAGTGTTTGGAGGGTCACTCCTGTGGTACTCAGGAGACCATATTGTCTGGACCTATACCAAAACATACACACTAGCCCTTTGTAACTGCTTGGCCCCACTTGTGGGTGCTGGGGGTTGTTTGGAACTCACCTGTCAGTGCTCAAGAGCTGTTGCTCACGCCATGTGCCTGAGTCACTTTTAACAGTGCTGGGGATCAAACGAGGGTGATCCGTTTGTCTTGACCTCGTACTGTCTCTGACCATACTTCTTTTGTAACTGACAGATGTGTATGTGTTTTTACATGTAAAGAAACGAGTTTCTGAGAAATACTTCTCCATAAGAGCTCACCCTGATAAAGAACTGTTAACCAGTGTTGAGTTTTTTATCAAAGGAATGTTTACCAATTTGGGAAGAAAAGTTTAAATGGGGACCTTAGTGGGAAAAGAGAATCTTCAATTAGTTGGTAAATGGCTTTTAGATAAAATGACATTTTAGAAGTTGGAAAGATAACACAGAGGGTAGGACATTTACTTTGGCGTGAAATCAATGCTGGGTTTAATTCCTGGCACCACCAGAAGTAAATCTGAGTACCACTGGGTGTGGGCTCATCCCCAGTGACATTTTATTTTATTGTAATATTGTGTGGGGGTGTCATACTCAGCGATGCTCAGGGGTCACTCTTGGCTCTGCACGCACGAATTACTCCTGGTGGTGCTTGGGGGACCATATGGGATGCCGGGGATTGAACCTGGGTCGGCCATGCAAGACAAATGCCCTACCCGCTCTACTGTCACTTAGAATAACGGTTTTCTGTAATTCAAAATTATTGTCTCCTAAAAATGATCATTCTCTTTAAATATCACAATATCACTCATACATCTCAAAACTTTGTTATTTCAGGCTGACTCTGGCTTGCGGTGGGTTAGCTTTAAATTCTTTAGACGACCTAACTCCTGACTGTCTGGGACATGCAGGACTTGTGTATGAATATACATTAGTAAGTATTTTCTTCCCATGGTTAATCTGTGGTTCATGAATTCTGCACAAAAAACTACTACCAATTATTTAAAATTACTACTAATTTGCCTACTAATTGTACTAGTAATTGTACTAATACTAATTGTACTACTAATTGTACTAGTTTGCCTTGTGTGTGGCCCACCTGCGTTTCATTCTTGTTACCTTGTATGGTCTCTTCAGCACCAGATTCACTAAAATCAGGATCAGGTATTTGCTTTGGTTTATGTATAGTGATCAACTTATGGTGGGACGATCATATTTTCTATGTGCAATTAAAATTAAGTGCTGCTTAATATTCATTTTTTTGTACAAAATTTTATTTTGAAAATGTTTTAATCTTTTTGCAAAGGGAGAAGAGAAGTTTACTTTTATTGAGAAATGTAATAATCCTCGCTCTGTAACTTTATTGGTCAAAGGACCAAATAAGCACACACTCACCCAAATCAAAGATGCGATAAGAGATGGCTTGAGAGCTGTTAAAAATGCTATTGATGACGGTAAGAGCTTCTGTGTATTTAAACTATTCTCTTTTCACTCGTCTGCAAAGCATGGCTGAATACTGTGTTCTTTTTATCAATATTTTACACAGCCAGACACCATGCAAAAGTAAAGTTTTCCCTTGAAAAGGCTTTTGATGGTATGTTGCTTTCTGTGGCATACCGTTATTAAAAGTGGCTACAAATAAAGTGAGCTAAGTTTCCAAGTGTTAAATTGTATATTACTTTCAGATGCAATTTTGTCTTGAAACTTATGCTTTTAACTCTTTTAATTTAAAGTTTTTACAGTTTGATTTAGTTTGAACCTTAGCATTTCTTTCTTCCCTCTCAAACAGGATGTGTAGTTCCCGGTGGTGGAGCTGTGGAAGTGGCAATGGCAGAAGCCCTGATTAAATATAAGCCTAGCGTAAAGGGTAGGGCCCAACTCGGAGTTCAGGCATTTGCTGATGCACTACTCATTATTCCCAAGGTATGAATACTTTTAAAGCAGTTTTTGTGTTCTGGACTCCCCACCCCCTTCCTAAATACCTGTCTGTGCTTCGTTACTTTTGTCTCTGCTCAGGGATCACTCCTGGCAGAGCTCAGGGACCACATAGGGTGCCAAGGATTGAGCCTTGGTTGACTCTGTTGCTCCAGCCCTGTTTTTGGAGCTACTCAAATGATTAAACTCAACAAATCTTTTTGGTAATGCCCCCCCCCCCATATGAATTTTGTATGAAGTTTCATTTACTTATTTTTCCTAACACTCGTATACATTATATTTTTATCCAGGTGTATTTAGTTATCTGGAAGGGCAACTTGAATGATATCTGACGTTACAGGTGGCAATATGGATAATGCTTGCTTTGTACTAGGCCGACCTGGGTTCTATCCCCAGCACCCCATATGGTCTCCTAGGCCCAGCCAAAAGTGATCCCTGAGCACTACCAAGTGTGGCCCAAAAGCAAACAAAGAAATTAAATCCAGGACTGGGGTTATATATATGCCCAACCTGAGTTTAGACTCTGATATCACATGAGGTTCCCTGATTATCACCAGGTGTCACACCAAAGTAGAAATCAAACCCAAAGCTCCAGCTGTTGAACTGTCTCCCTCACCCAAGAGAATTATTCTGAGAGAATGTTATGGATCAAAAAGGCAGTTGACTACAGTAATCTAAAATTTCTATCACATTTTTAATAACTCGGTTATATTTTACTAATAAAAGTTAGTCTTTGGTTTTAAAGTAATTCTGTTAGGGGCTGGAGCGATAGCACACGGGTAGGGCATTTGCCTTGCACGCGGCTGACCTGGGTTTGATTTCCAGCATCCCATATGGTTCCCTGAGCACCGTCAGGAGTAATTCCTGAGTGCAGAGCCAGGAGTAACTCCTGTGCATCGCCAAGTATGACCCAAAAAGCAAAAAAAAAAAGTAATTCTGTTAAAGAATTTGTGTGGCCTAAGTACTTCAAGCTTCCTTTTTGTTTTGGTTAAATTATGTTAATGCTATTTTCTATGGTGTGCCTTTGTGGGAGTTACAGTGTTTGGGATGGGTAGAGAGTTGAGCAGCCATATGTCATGATTCTTTTAATGTGTGTGTTATTAAAAGTTACATTTAGGGGCCGGGGATAGTACAGCGGGTGGGGTGTTTGCCTTGCATGTGGCCAACCAGAGTTCAATCCTTGGCATCCCATATGGTCCCCCAAGCACCGCCAGGAGTAATTCCTGAGTGCAGAGCCAGGAGTAACTCCTGAGCATTGCTGGGTGTGACCCAAAAAGAAAAAAAAAAAGTTAGCCAGGATTGGGATGGTTAGAAAGTTGATAATGACCTGTCATGATTCTCTGAAGTGAACATACTGGTTATATATTCAGTAAAATTACTGTTTGATTTGGGGGTTGGAGTATATAGTTTTTATGCGTTGTAGACGTGACCAATCTTAGGATCCTGTATTTATGGATTAAATTTGTTTGCTTTAGGTTCTTGCTCAGAATTCTGGCTTTGACCTTCAGGAAACACTAGTTAAAGTTCAAGCAGAGCATTCAGAATCTGGTCAACTTGTGGGTGTGGACTTGAACGCAGGTAAGAAAATACAAGTATTTGTTAGCAGGAGGGGGCGGGGAAACCGAGAAAGAACAAAAACACTGAAAATCTTGGAATTTCTAAAAATGGAATGTCAAGTATAGTGATTGGATGAAAGCAAACATTTGAATTCAAACAGATTTGGTGTTGCTGAATAGTAATGCAGTTCAGGGTAATATCAAAGGCTTAGAACTGGACAAATAATACAGGAGGTAAAGTGCTTGTTTTACATTCAACTACACTAGCCATGACTGGCTCCCACCGTCACATGGTTCCATGAATACCACTAAGGCTTCCCCCCACCCCCACAACTCAAAGGGTAAGGAAAACAGGAAAAGGTAATGCTGTAATAGGAACTAAATCCTATGAAATGAATGAAGTTCTGGTCTCACGCCAATTTTTTGAAAAAGAAAGATGGTTGAGATCCATCCATGAGATATGTGAGTAGAATCAGTAAATACTTATATTTTCTGTAATAGAAGAGACTTGCTCTCCAAGTTGGTGTTCTTCTTGAACATTTGATTGTCTTTGCTGCCTGTGTTTTCTTGAACACATTTACATTTCTTTGTTCTCTCCCCTCACATCTTTCTAAATAAATTTCAGTTAAAGCCATCATTTCAGGGCTGGAGAGATAGCAACAGCGGGTAGGGCGTTTGCCTTGCATGCGGTCGACCCAGGTTCGATTCCCAGCACCCCATGTGGTCCCCTGAGCACCTCGAGGAGTAACTCCTGAGTGCAGAGCCAGGAGTAACCCCTGTGCATCGCCGGGTGTGACCCAAAAAGCATTTCATTTCATTTCATTTCATCATCCTGTTAATCGTCGATTGCCTCGAGCAGGCCCCAGTAACGTCTCTTTCATCCTAGCCCTGAGATTATATTCACGGCTCTTTAGGAGAATGTGACCCATCATTGTTACTGGTGTTTGGCATATTTGGTACGCCACGGGGAGTTTGCCAGACTCTGCCCTGTGGGCAGGCTACATTCGATAGCCTGCAAGTTTGTCCAAAGTAGGAATGAGAAAATAAGATGTCATAAAAAAAGTTTTGATAAGATGTCGCGCGGCCGCAAATGCGGCTGCGCAGTTCCGGGATCTGCATTTTATAGTCTCTGAGTCTTGGCGGCTGATGGGATTACACGGCGCCAGGGGGCCAGGTGGTGGGTGTGACCCCCGCCTGCTGGAATTTGGAGGATCTGGATGGAAGATGCTCGACTCCAATCCGAGTAGGCTTGGAGGTCTCGGCCCCGGAACCCGCGTGGCTTTGTCCCTCTGCCAGTACCTTCATGTGTGCGGAGAGTGGTCTCAGCATGGTGGTGGCTGGTCCTGAAGGTCTTCGGCTGCCGGAGCCCCGGTAGGGGCGGGGAGGAAAGCTCAACCCGCTCCCCTCCAAGGGGTCCCGGCGAGGGACACCCAGGCGCGGGGGCAAAAGACACCCACCACCTGGCCCCCTGGCGCCGTGTAATCCCATCAGCGGCCAAGACTCAGAGACTATAAAATGCAGATCCCGGACGAGAACGCTGCAGTCTTTTGCCACCCAAAAAGCAAAAATAAATAAATAAAGCCATCTTGTTTCACACATAGTGGATGCTTCTGGATTGAGAAACAAGTCTTATTTTTTGAAAAGTCCCAAATGCTGTACAGTAATATAGATAAGGGAGAATGTATTGAGAAAAAGGGGAGATGTTGGCGTGTTTGGTAGCCAGATAGAGCATTCTTATCAGTAGAAGTCTTCCAAGTAGACGTCATCAACTTAGACGTCGTGCAGAGGAGGGATGGGCAAATAACTCGAGAATCGGAGTGTGTGGCTTGCATGCTAGAGCCGTGGGTTCAATCCACAGCACCTTACTGTTTTCCTCAGCCCCTTCAGTGAGGTACAATATAATAAAAATTGTTATTGTAGGTCAGGGCTGAAATGATAAAACGTTTGCTGTGTGAAAAGCCAGCCCAGGTTCAATGCCCTCCAGCACCACATATGGTCCCCTGAGCTCTGCTCAGGAGTGGTCACTGAGCACAGAGCTTAGATGCCTTGAGCACCACAGGTTGTTGCCTATGGAATGGGGGGGGGGGGGGGGCAACTAAAATTGGTTTTCTGGAAAGAAGCTATAGGTTTTTTTAGCTTTTTTTTTTTTTTTAAATAATGTAGGAGTACTGCTCTCTGTTAAGAAGCTATAGTTTTAAAGTAGAAAGTTGAACTAAATGTCCTGCCAGGACTTGGGTTTTTGTTGTTAATGCTACACGAAATACTAATTGGTGATCATAACTTTGGTAATATTCTTTGCGTCTTTGCTGTGTTTTTAAGAATTCATCCGTTCCTTTTCAGGTGAACCGATGGTTGCAGCAGAAGTGGGTGTATGGGATAACTACTGTGTAAAGAAACAACTTCTTCATTCGTGGTAAGTTAGAGAACACCAAAAAATAAACTACCTTTAAAAGAGAATCATTTTCTTGGGTTGGAGAGATGATTGGGTAGGGTAACCTTAGTTCCCAAAGGACTGCCAGGAGTAGTTACTTTTCTTTTCTCAAAGATATAATCAACTAAATAAAAAAAAAAGTCAACTAGCTTGTGTGCAAGGGGAAAGGAAAAGTTTAATTGGATAATAGTGTGTACAGAATAGTTAAAAATTGAATTACCGTTTCTGTCTCAATCTGATCCATCTGAGTGTTTTTCCCTTTCAGCACTGTGATTGCTACCAACATTCTCCTGGTGGATGAGATCATGCGAGCTGGAATGTCTTCTCTCAAGGGTTGAATTGAAGCTCATCTGAATTATGAAGTCTACGGAATTATTCTAATGGAGCTATGGAGGTTTTGTCCAAGCTTCAAGTGATTATCAAAGAAATTTCTCCCATATGAAAAAGGAATGCCGGCACCTATCAAACTGAAGTTCTGAAATATGATTACAGTATTTTTTTTTATTGCACTGGTATATTCATAAAGCAGGCCCTTTTACTCAGCAGGATGTTTGTTTATCTTCAGCGATTAAAAAATACTCATTAGATGAGCATGTTACCTTGTTACTAAAAATTCCTTGATAAATTAATGGTTTAATAGTTTCTTCTAATGGGCATTTTAGTTTATCCAGTAGTTCCTTGTGTAAGCATTTAAGTTTTAAGTTTTTTTATGCTAATATAAATGACACCCAAGTAACATTAGGTTTTGAAAGCATCCCTGTTTCTGGTATAAATTCTGAGTAAAACTTTTGGGTCGATTGAACTTGCCTTGCTGTTGAATTAAGTTTGCTAAAATTCTCCCCAGAAAATTTGAATTTTGATGGGTAGAAAAATGGACTAGAGGAAAGGGAATTGAGAGAACAACAAATATAAAGTGGCAGAGTAGAAACAGGCAGAGGTAAATATGATTGAAGGCACAATGAAGAGGAAACGAGTTTCAAGTGGACTACATTTTCATATCTGAGCTTGTCTTGGGCTAAAATGTCAAACCACAACCCCCTCTTTCCCTCATCTTTTTCTCGCCCCAAATCTTGTTTCTATACATATTTCAAAAATTTTGTTTTAATATACTTAGTATATCCTTGCACTCCCGAAGGTGAAATGTTGGTAAGCTTTATATACTGTGGACATGTCAGTTGCATAATGAATGTGCAATAAATAGTAAACTGAAAACATGCCTGTGATGTAGTGGTGTTCCAGGAAACGAAGCCTAATAAAAAAGTAGGAACTAATCTAAATGGTTCAGAAACTAATTCAGGGCATTATGAATGATAGCTTCTCAATTGACTGGGAAAATTGATTCTAATTAGCCGGCCCCCTCCTAATACCCCGACGAGTCCCCTGCAGCAGTTCTGATATCGCGGGATTCTCCCAGCGTCAGGGCTGGAGCTTCCTGGAGGGGAGGGCGCAGGCGCACGCGGAGCCGTCTCTGACGTGGAGCGTGCGGAGCGCATGCGCAGCAGGGTGGCCCCGCCTCTTCGCGTGCGCTCGGGCTCGTGCCGAGCATGGGCTTCTTGCACTCCCTGGTGTGTCTGCTGGTGCTCCTCTCTGGCCCTTGGCTCCAACTAGGTCAGTGTGTCTGCCCGCTCTCCGCCCAGCCCCTTCGTCGTTTGTACCCTGGGCATCACCATAGGGGGCGTTTACCGCGTGATGCGCCCTGATGGGTTGAGAGACGTGAACCTCTCCGCGCGCTTCCCGGACTACTCGGGCTGGGTTAACTGCTCAGATCAAATTGTCGCTCACTCTTGATGTACTTAATAACTTGGGATCTTTCAAGCAAAATTAAAGAGAATATGATGAGCCCCTCATGTGCCTGGTACCCAATTAAAACACTGCGTTTTAACAAGATTTAACAATCTTGCATCTTTGGTATTCCTTCTACCTTCCCTGCATGTGGCGCCTTTTGTTCTGTTTCGGGACACAGGTGGTGATGCTCGGGCGACCAAAGGTGATGCAGAGATCAAACCAAGGTTGGTGAAAGTGTCTGCATGCGAGACCTTACTTCCTCTTGCTCTCCGGCCCTTCAGTGGGACCATTTTTAAGTTAATTCAGGCATTGCACTCTTTGATTTGCATGCAGATAACCTTAAATAACAACGACGAAATGCAGTTTCACATAGAAATAACACACAAGTCGCATTCTGTTTTTCCCTCCTAGAATTTTTTTGGGGGGGTTCTGATATAGGTCACACGTGATTGTGAGTGACCTCGCCGATTGCTGCAGGGTTACCCCTGACCGCTGATAAAACCAGGGTCAAAGTTCATTTCAGGACAAGCGCCTTACCTAAAACATGAATATTAATTTTACCTAATAAAAGTTAATATCATTAAAATATTTGCTGGGGTCAAAAGAAGATCTTCTTGAACATTTGATTGTCTTTGCTGCCTGTGTTTTCTTAAATCGAATGAAGCCTGCCCACAGGGCAGAGTCTGGCAAACTCCCCGTGGCGTACCAAATATGCCAAATACCAGTAACAATGATGGGTCTCATTCTCCTAAAGAGCCTTGAATATATTCTCAGGCCTAGGATGAAAGAGACGTTACTGGGGCCTGCTTGAGGCAATCGACGAATAACAGGATGATGAAATGAAAAAAATGAAAAAAGAAGATCATAAATTGTAATTGTATGCAGTTTCTTTATTTTTTTTTTATGTTTTTTGTGGCTCCAGAATTGAACCCAAAAGCTTCACATGCTGAAAGCTGGTACCCTGCTAGTGAGTCACATCCGTGGTTCTCTTTTTTTCCTCTTAATTTTTTCATGATCAAATTTCCCTTGTTTTTTTCTACCCCCAAGTGGATAAGATTATCAGAATAAGAAGAAGGCTGGTATAAGAACTTGAACATGAAAAGACCTGGAACTTGTGCCTTTGGGGATTTAGACATCATTATGTAGAAATCTATAAACTAGTACATATAAAGTACTTATAGTACCATCAAGTCACAGAAGTGTGAATTATCAGAAAACATCTGACCTGGAATATAGCTGTCTAGTCCTGCCTCTTGCTTGCTAGCTGTTTAACTCTTTCCTTTCCTGTTAAATAAAGTGAAGGGATTAAGATCCTTTTAATTCTGTGATTTTCAAAGGTAATCAGACAGTATTATTTGATAATTATTATGCATTTGTTCTAGATGACAGGGATACACTTTCTGGAGCAAATGATATGGTGAAAATCATTTAAAAACTGATGAGTTCAACAAACGGAGAGGTAAAAACAGAAAAAGCATGAGTAGAAGTTTGGGTAGGAAAACGCTAGATTTGTTTTAGTGTGTAGTACCTAGCTGGAAAAAGGAATTTTTGTGTTTATAATAGAGAGGTCAGGAAAAGAAGCAATCATTTAAAACCTATCACGTGCTCAACATGTCACATATTACTTTAACACATATGGCCTTGCCCTTTGAGATGTTATCTTCGTTTTAGTGGTGAAAAAATAATTCAGATGAAGTAATTTGCCTAAATTAAGTGACTGAACAAGAATTTATTTATGAATTTGGGCCACACCCAGCAGTAATTAGGATTTGAGGGGAGTGAGGTGGCTCTTGATAGAATTTGGAGGATCATGCAGTGCTAAGGATCAGACCTGGGGCTCCTGCATGCAGAGCATGGGCTCCAGCCTTTTAACTATCTCTAGAAGAATCTAGTATGTGTCTGTGTGTCTGTGTGTGTGTGTGTGCGTGTGTGTGTGTGTATGTGTGTGTATGTTGCTATAGATGAAACTTAGAGCTTTACACCTGTAAGGCAAGCACTCTACTACTGAGCTACATTGCTGGTTCCCTAATAACAAATGTTTGTGTCTTTTTTATTGCACATTGTAAGTATTTTATATATGAGCCCCAGATTATCATAGAATTATTATACATATATATATTCATATGTTTTTGATGACTTCATTTTCTCTACAGGGAATGGGCACACTGCTAACATGGTGCAGCTCTCGGGTGGCAAATTCAAGATGGGAACAGATTCCCCAGATGCCAGGGATGGTGAAGGTCCTGTTCGGGAAGTGGTTGTAAAACCCTTTGCCATTGACATGTTTCCTGTCACCAACAAAGATTTCAGGTATATCAGAAAGACTAGAGCCTTTCCAAGAGGAAGAAAGTCTCTAATCTTTTTTTGAAGTCTGTTGGTTTGGTTTGGTTTGGTTTGATTTGGTTTGGTTTGGTTTGGGGACCACACCTAGTGATGCACAAGGCTTACTCCTGACTCTGCACTCAGGGATTGCTCTTATGAACTCAGGGGACCAGGAACAATCCCTGAGCCCAGAGCTGGTGTGCTAGGGGATCAGACCCAGGTCAGCTGCATGCAAGGCAAAAACTCCAACCCCAAGAGAGTCTCTAATCTTAAATCCTGGTATCTAAAAGTAAACTAGCTTTTTTTTAAAATTTTATTGAATCGCTGTGAGATAGTTACAAGTTTTCATGTTTGGATTACAGTCACACAATGATCAAACACCCATCCCTCCACCAGTGCACATTCCCCACCACCAGTATCCCCGGTATACCCCCCCCCTTTCCCACCCTCCCCCTGCCTCCATGGCCGGCATGATTCCCCATAATATCTCTCTACTTATGGTTTGCAATACAGACACCGAGAGGTCATCATGTTTGGTCCTTTATCTACTTTTTGCTCACATCTCCCATCCTGACCGATTCCTCCAGCCATCATTTTCTTAGTGATCCCTTCTCTATTCCATCTGCCTTCTCCCCTTTGCTCAGGAGGCAGGCTTCCAACTAAGGAGCAATCTACCTGTCCCATGTGTCTACTATCCTTAGGTGTCAGCCTCATGTTATGTTATTCTATACTTCACAAATGAGTGTAGTCCTTCTATGTCTGTCCCTCTCTTTCCAACTCATTTCACTTAGCATGATACTCTCCATGTCTATCCATTTATAAGCAAAGTTCATGACTTCATCTTTCCTGACAGCTGCATAGTATTCCATTGTGTAGATGTACCAAAGTTTCTTTAACCAGTCATTTGTTCTTGGGCACTTGGGTTGAGGAAACTAGCTTTTAATTTGAGGAGATGGACTGAAATATAAGAATTGTCAATTACCTGTCAGGTCTTTGGATTCAGTGGTTCTGCCTCTTAAAAAAAATTCACTTAAGGTGGTGATCATCATATCTTTGCTGTGATATATGAGATTTTTTCCCCCCCTTGGCAGGCATATAACAAAAGGCTAAAGTACAAAATAAAAATGTAATGCAAAATGTTTTAGATGCCAGAGTTGAAAACTTAGTTATGTAGATGAGAATAGGCAGTATACTATATTAAATGATTTGAATTTCCTTATTTACACAGGTAAAATCATATAGCAGTCATTACAAATTGACTTTTGTTGATTTACCTTGCTATAATTCCACTTACCATTTCTTTAAGTTTTGTTGGAACAAGCAGAATGAAATAAATTTGTCAAATGCCTGCCGAGGGGGTAGGCAGGGATGGCAGGGACCCTGGGGACACCCGTGGTGGGATTGGTGCTGTAACATTTGTGCCTGAAACTACTCTGTTATGCACAGCTTTATAAATCGGTGTCTTAATTAAAAACAAAAAATTAAAGCATGAAAATACAAAACAAAACAAAAAAACAATTTGACTTAAAGTGGGTCCAGAAAGATAGTACAGCCAACCCAGGTTCAATTCCTAGCATCCCATATGGTCCTCTGAGCACTGCCAGGCGTAATTCCTGTGTGAAGTCCCAAAAGCAACCTGAGCATCACCTTGTGGTGGGGGAAAAAAAAATTGACTCAAGGGACCTAAGAGATAGTACAGTGAATCCCTAGCAGCCTTGCACATGGCCCACCCATGTTTGAATCCCAGCACCCCCTATGGTCCCCCAAGCACTGCCATGAGTAATTCCTGAGCACAGAGTTAGGGTGCATGGAACCCAAAATACTGTTGCCTGTATAGAACCTGAGTTTAGGGGCAGTCCCCCAAAAATGACTGTTGTCAGTGAAAGATGAGATTTTAAGTGGAAAGTGAAGCTCTCCTGTGCCCCCTCCAAAAAAGAGTGAAGCTCCCAAGATAATATATTGACTAGGATTCCATTTTTTAAAATTATATGTATAGCTTTTATATACATTTAACAAGAATTGGAAATTGCAGCGTTGCATTAGTTCAGTGTTTCCTAAAGTAGTCAATACTGTGCATCCTCTAGGGAGGTTTGGGACTATTGAGAGGAATTGAGAGCCGCTCTGTTCTCATCAAGATGTTAGCTTCTCTTGGGTACTTTCTGAAAAGGGGAGTAGGCCAAATAAGTTTGAGAACCTCTGCATTAGTTGGTAGCTTTTTCTCATGCTTTTATGATTTCTTGTTTTGCTTTTTGGGTCACACCCAGCAATGCACAGGAGTTACTCCTGGCTCATGCATTCAGGAATTATTACTCTTGGTGGTGCTCCTCGGGGGCCATATGGGATGCTGGGATCAAGCCCGCGTGCAACGCAAACACCCTACCTGCTGTGCTATCACTCCAGCCCCGCTTTTATAACTTCTAAAAGAAAATAATACCAGAAAAGCAATTACTAAAGCTACTTAAAAATCCTTAGGAAGGGCAGAAAGATAGTACAGTGGGACAAGAGCTTGCCTCATACGCAGTCGACCTGAATTCAGTCCCCAGCATCGCTTCCAGTCCCCAGAGCACTGTCACGAGAGATCCCTGAGTACAGAGGCCTGAGCACAGCTGGGCATTGCCTCAAAATCAAATAATAAAAATTCTTGGGAAGGGGAAAGAAGACTATGGAAGGATATTGAATTTCAGATACTGATACTGATATTGAATATTGGTTTGTTTGTTTTTTTTAAACCAACCTTGTTTTTGACAGTGGAACCTACATTACTTATACCTTGTTTAAAAAGCCAAAACACAGCGGTGGTGGTCAAGGGTATTATCCCTGAATGCAGAGCCAAGAGTAAGCCCTAAGCACTCTAGGTGTGGCCTAAAAACAAACCAAAAACAAAGTGTGGGCCTGAGTGTTAGTTCAGAAGGTAGGGCATTTGCACAAGGCCAATCCTGGTTTGATCCAATCCCCGGCATTCCCTATGGTCTCCCGAGCACTGTCAGGAGTGATTCCTGAGCAGAGCCAGGAGTAACCCCTGTATATGGCCAGGTGTGACTCCCCCACCAAAAAAGTGCTTGGGGACTACTTTTAGCTCTGTGTCTGTGCTTTGTGGTTGCTCCCAGCATTGCTCAAATGATACGGTGCTGGGGGAGCACCAAACTGGAGTCAGCTGCATGTAATGAAAGCACACAGGCACCTAGCCTCAGTATCACTGTGTGGCCCCTTAAAAGTATTTTTGAACAAGGAAGTTATGAAGAGGACTAATCATCTCTGATCAGGTCTGCACTATTTCATAACCAGAAGTAGCTAGCCAACTAGATTGATGTGCAGTATGCATACTTTCACAGTTCAGTTTATATATAGCCTGCTGTATGATGATAATTGGGTTGAATGTTACGTCACCTCTCAGGGCCTGAGATATTGTACTATATTGTATTGATATATACAATATATCAATACACAATATACACAATACACAATATACACAATACACAATATACACAATACACAATATACAATATATGAGATATAATACAAGTAGGGTGCTTGCCTTAAACGAGGCTGACCCGGGTTTGATCTCCGGTATCCCATATGGGGAATCCCACCCCAACTAATGACCCACCCCAACTAATGACCCACCCCAACTAATGACCCACATGGAGGGAATGGCCAGAAACAGCAGTAATATTGCTGGTGGCCAGGGGGATCAACTGTACATACAGACGATGGCAAAATTCAAAGAAACAGAAAACTGGGATTTTTGAAATAAAATATCCTGATTTTCCTGGCCAGAATGATAATGTAGCGGGTAGGGCGTTTGCCTTCCATGTGGCCAACCTCGGTTTGATCCCCAGGATCCCATATGGTCCCCGAATACTGCGAGGAGTAATTCCTAAGTAGAGAGCTAGGAGTAACCCCTGAGTTGTCTGGTATAGCCCTAAACAAATCTTTTCTGACTTTTCAATGGCGACAAGGAGATTTTCTAAACATGTTACATCCTCTATGGACCAGGCGGAATCTTGGAGACTGGGTCTCCCCTGGGGAAGACTGTTTCTGCTCTCTGATTCTCTGCTGGCAGCTCTGTTCCGTGGGTCTGTCCCCTTTATTCTCTCCCAGGTCTGGTTCATGGCTCTGTTCCGTTCCATGGCTATTCTTGGCCCTGTTTCACAAACCTGCTTCACGGGTCTTTTCCATAACTGTACATCAAAGAAAATTTGTTCAAACGTTCAAGTTAACTCCTTGACTTTCTGGAAAACTCTGCATTGTGTGACTTCAAGACAAGGATATTGATTTTATGGGGCGCGAGAAGATGAGGGAGGGTGGAGTCTAGAGCCCTTTCAGCTGTACCAGGCAGAATCTCTCTTTTCAGGGAATTTGTTCGGGAGAAAAAGTACCGGACAGAGGCCGAGGTGTTTGGTTGGAGCTTTGTCTTTGAGGATTTGGTCCCTGAAGAAGTTAAAAACAAAGCGAGCCAGAACATGAAGGTGAGAAAGCCTGGCCTCGCTGCTGAGGGAGTGGAATTGGGACCTGGACAGCAATCCTTGAGATACAAGGTCCCTTGGACCGCAAGACAGAAACAAATCCAGGGGTTGGAGAGATAGCAGTGCTGGTAAGAAGCTGCCCTTGTATGCGCCCGACCTGGTATGAGCCCCAGAATCCCATATGATCCTCCGAGCACCACAAGGAGCAATTCCTGAGGAGAGCCAGGAGTAACCCATGAGTATTGTTGGGTGTGAGAAACAAATCTAAAGGATGGAGGGAGGGGGGAGGGGCCAGAGAGATAGTCTAGTGGGTTGGGCACTTTGCTTGCACTCGGCCAGTCCAGGTTTGATCTTGGGTACCACATATGTTCTCTGATCCTGCCGGGCGTGTCTCTGACTACAGAGTCAGAAGTACGGAGCCAGAAGTAGACTCTGAGCACCCTGAATGTTGCCGCCCAAAACGAACAAAAAAAAAACAGTGTTGAGGCAGGGAGAAAAGAAGAGAAAGCCAAGCTGGAAGATTCAGATGAACATGTACAGCCAGGAAGTTAACCCTGGGCTGGTTTCCACAGAGATACTCCTAACGGTCCCCAGATAACATCTAGCTGGAACCAGGAAGAGAACATCTTAATAAACCTCCCTCTGGTCAGGGTGGTTTTGGGGGAGAGGTAGGGACCACTCCAGGTTTGTGCTTGGGGCCACATGCAGGACAAGTTCCTTATCTTCCCGTCCTCCAAAACGAGGGCCGAGGAGATAGCTCAGTGGGCGAGTACATGCTGTTTGCATGAAGAGCCCTGGGTTTCATGATCCAGCACTGTGTGCATCCTCCCTGGAGCATAGAGGGAACAACACCTGAGCATAGAGCCAGGATGGATCCTAAGTATTACAAAGTATGGCCCAAAAAATAAAAATGGAAGTTTACAGGTAACCCTACTTTCTTGGACCCTCAGTGTCTTGGCCCTAAGTCTGTACAGTGCTGGGTCAAGGTATGCATGTCACAATCATGCTGCTGCTTCCTTTTTTTTTTTTCCTTCCTTTTTTGGGGTCATACCTGGCAGTGCACAGAAGTTACTCCTGACTCTGCACTCAAGAATTACTCCGGGTGATGCTCGGGGGACCATATGGGATGCTGGGGATCGAACCCAGGTCGGCCGCATGCAAGGCAAATGCCCTACCCACTGTGCTATCGCTCCAGCCTCACTCCTTCTATTTTGCAGTCCGTCCTCTGGTGGTTTCCTGTGGAAAGGGCCTTCTGGAGGCAGGTAAGGGTTGCTTGTACTTCCTTTTTTTTCTGCTTTTCCTCACTCTGCTGTTTTGATTACTCTGAAGTTCTTAAGAAATGCTCAGTTTTAAAAGGATGGGAGTGAAATTTCAGGGAACAGCCAAGCAATATTGTTTCCTCTCCTTAATTCCTTTTCCCATTGTCCATCCCGTTTCTCCCTTTATGCTCTGGTTCCAGTCCCTGTTGGCTCTGGGCCTCACCTTACCAGACTTTCTCTTCCAACTTCCTTGCTCCATCTAGTGGTAAAAGCTGGACTCAGCCGGCCTGCCTTCAAGTCGCATGTGCTCCCAGAAACTTGTCTCATGACACCCTTTGGCTGTTAGCCTGCAGGTCCCGGCTCTGGCATCCGAGAGAGACTGGAGTTCCCGGTGGTTCATGTGAGCTGGAATGATGCGCGTGCCTACTGCACTTGGCGGGGGAAGCGGCTGCCCACTGAGGAGGAGTGGGAGTTTGCAGCCCGCGGAGGGCGGAAAGGTACTGAGCAGCCAAGCCCATTTCTCCTCTCTCCTTCTAGGGATGCTTTCAGGGGTGGGGTAGGTCTGTGCTCTCTCAAGCAGTCTTTCTCAACCAAGGGGGCCACAGGTGAAAATGGGGTCGATCGGGAGCCACATCGCAAGACTAGAGGACCAACAGAGGTAGGACGGGAGCTGGGGGACACAGGAAGGATACAGAGTTGGAGGGAAAAAGAAAAATACTGCTCTAGAGCAATGCCTTAAACTTATGGGGTGAAGGACCATTTGTCTCATATCTAGTCCATCTCAGATCAGTGCTCTGTAAACTACCAGACCACTTAGAAACAAAGGCTCATGCTTGGCCTGTACATGGTCCTGCGTTCAGATCCTGGCACCACGTGGCACCCAACATCAGCAGCCATGGCTCTGGTAGCCCCAGGCCTTGCCCCAGAGAAACTTGAAATTGAACATATTCAGGGGACCAGAGAGATAGTACAGGAGGTAGGGTTCTTGCCTGTATGCAGCCAACCCAGGTTCAATCCCCAGCATCCCATTGGGTCGTCCAAGCACCACCAGGAGTGATTACTGAGTGCAGAGCCAGGAATAACTCTGGAACACAGGTGTGCCCCACCCCCAAAAGAGTTTGTTTTTAATAAAAATAATTTTTAAAAAATTTGAATGTATTGAATGAAAAAAAAAAACAGACACGGGGGCTGGAGCAATAGCACAGCGGGTAGGGCATTTGCCTTGCACGCAGCCAACCTAGGTTCGATTCCCAGCATCCCATATGGTCCCCCGAGCAGCACCGCCAGGAGTAATTCCTGAGTGCATGAACCAGGAGTAACTCCTGTGCATCGCCGGGTGTGACCCAAAAAGCAAAAAAAAAAAAAAAAAAAAAAAAAACCCCAGACACGGGGGCCTAGAGAAATAGTACAGTGGGTTGGAGACTTGCCTTGCATGCAGCCTACCTGTTTTTAATTCCTGCAACCCCATATGGTTTTCCAAGTCTTTCCAGGAGTGATCCCTGAGTACAGAACCAGAAATAATCCCTGAGCACTACCTGGCGTGGTCCAAAGAAACAAACCAAATTCCTTATTTTCGGTGTTTCCAAAGACATTTCAATCAACATAATTAGAGCAACATAGCATTTTAAAAACATATGATTATCAGACTACATACCTTTTCTAGTAGGCATATAGAGATTAAGATAAAGAATCACTTATTGGGCTGGAGAGATAGTGCTGCAGGTAAGGCGCTTGCCTTCTTCGTGACTGACCTGGGTTTGATTCCCAGTTTCCCATATGGTCCTCCAAGCACTGTCAGGGGTAATTCCTGAGTGCAGAGCCAGAAGTACCTCCTGAACATCACTGGGTATGGCCCCAAAACAAATAAAAAAGAATCGCTGTTGGGGCTGGAGCTACAATAGTACAGCGGGTAGGGCGTTTGCCTTGCATGCGCTGATCTGGGTTCAATCCCTGGAATCCCATATGGTCCGTCAAGCACTGCCAGGAGTAATTCCTGAGCGCAGAGCCAGGAGTAACCCCTGAGCATCACTGGGTGTGACCCAAAAAGCAAAAAAAAAAAAAAAAAAAGAATCACTGGCATCAAGGATGTAGCTCAGTGGCAGAATCTTGCAGTCATAACTTACAGTTAAAGTGATCAAGCAACTCCCCACAGTAAACGTCTCTGCCCTCTGTTTGAATATTGACTGTACCAATATTCGAAGCTATCCATGTGATAAATGAAGCTGGTTATTTATCTGGTCTATGTCCATTTTGGGTGTTTTTTTGTTTGTTTGTTTTTTGGGTTTTTTTTTGCAGGGGGGTCTCACCCAGCGATGCACAGCCGCGTGCAAGGCAAACACCCTACCCAATAATGCTATCACTTTAGCCCCATTTTGGGTGTTTGAACCACACCTGGCACTGTTCAGGGCATCCTCCTGGCCCAGAGCTCAGGGATCACTCCTGACGCGTGTTGGTGGTGCCAAGGATTGAACCTGTTTTGCTGCATGCTAGTTTCTCAACATTTACTCTCAATTTATGTACTTTCCTCAACAAAAGCTAGTAGCAGCTTACATACTGGCATTGGTCATAACCTCACTAGAATTGTTTATGTCTTGGGGGAGACCAGGAGATCAGAACTCCTAATGCATACACCGAGGGGAAGGTCTGGGAAAGTCAGTAATCTTTCCTGACCTTTCAGCTACCTTTTGATCCCTTCACTTGCGTTGTCTTTCCCAGTTAGTTATTCACCTCTCCTTCCTCTGCTATTTCCTTTCCCTCCTGGCAGGTCAGATTTACCCATGGGGAAACCATTTCCAGCCAAACCGCACCAACCTGTGGCAGGTAAGACATCCATTTCTCAATCAATCCTGTCTTTTCGCGAAGCCCCAGGACCTCCTCGTAGCTGGACCTCAGGGGTGGTGTGGAATACAGAACATAAAGCCAATAGTGTGACCTGCCCTCCTGAGCATTTGCAGAGTGTGCTCAAGAGAAGTCACTGAGTACTGCAGAGAAGGTGACATTTGGTGCCATTTGTGTAGCCTTGCATATTCCAGGCCCTGTGTCTCATTCATGGCATCATATGGTACCGCAGGAACTGTCAGGTGGTGCCCCCACAGCTAAGGGAAATGAAAGAGTATGAGCAGGGAAAGGGGAAAGGAATAACATTTAACTGATTGAATAAAACTTAGCCAGGTGGAAAGTGGAGGAAGGCTCCTTCCTCTGAAGTATGCCCACACTCTGACTTCTAGAGTATTCTCCTACTTTCAGTATTTAATAAATATTCTCTATTAAAAAAAAAAAAACGAAAGTGGGGGAAAAGGCATTTCAAGCAGAGGAAGTGACACAAATGCAGTTCTTGTATGTATGAACACTCATCCATTCAGAAATACGACAGAGGGACTGGAGCGATAGCACAGTGGGTAGGGCGTTTGCCTTGCATGTGGCTGACCCAGGTTCGATTCCTGGCATCCCACCTGAGCACCGCCAGGAGTAACTCCTGAGTGCAATGCCAGGAGTAACCCCTGAGCATCACCGGGTGTGACCCAAAAGCAAAAAAAAAAAAAAAAAAAAAAAAGAGCTATGACAGAGGTTCAAAGTGTAGAAATGACTGTAGGTTGAAGGCAGATCATGAAGACCTGATTTTACCAAGATAAGGTTTTATGTTTTGCCCACTAAGCAGTAGGATCTGGGGATGGGAGGTGAGGGGCACAGTTTTGGCTCTGTGTTTAGAGTAACCCTGGCAGTGCTCAGGGAACCATATGCAATGCCTGGGGTCAACCTTATGGAAGACAGAAACATGACAGAGGGGCTGGAGCGATAGCACAGTGGGTAGGGCATTTGCCTTGCATGTGGCTGACCCAGGTTCGATTCCCAGCATCCCATATGGTCACTTGAGCACCGCCAGGAGTAACTCCTGAGTGCAATGCCAGGAGTAACCCCTATACTATACTATACCCCTATAGTAAACTCTATTCTATCCCTCCGACCGTGGCAGAGCTGTCTGGAACAGGGGAGTAAAAGCATCCTTTTGGTTTAAGGACATGCCCATTATTGCTGTTTAGTCCAGGACCAGATACAGTAGAGCTGAGGGGTGGTGGGGAGCTCAGAACTCGAGTCTGGGACAATGTGTTGGGAAACGAAGTGCCTGAACTAAGTGGAAGTGAACTCAAGAGGAAAACAAATGGTAGATTGATATATATATATATATATATATATATATATATATATATATATAATTGCATTGTTTGAGGGAGTCACACCTGGCCATGCACAGGGGCTACTCCTGGCTCTGTACTCAGGAATTACTCATGGCGGTGCTCAGGGGAGACCATATGGGATGCTGGGGATCGAACCTGGGTCTGCCACATGCAAGGCAAACACCCTACCTGTTGTACTATTGCTCCAGCGATAGTTGATGAATTGATGAATAATTTAAGTATGAATTCAAGCTTGGACTATAGGTTGATGGTGGTACAGAACAGATAATATGCATTTTATGTGTCAGAGGAATTGAATTTGATCACTTTTGAACCAAATTAGCTTTAAGTGCCTGTGGATCATTATAAGCTTAGTTAGAGGTTGGCAGTTAAGACAGAGGTCTGTGTCAGAGCAAGTGATTGGGGAGTTAGAAACAATATCTGAGGCAGGAAGGATACCCAAGAAGACTCTGGAGCATGAGGGACCACCACCAGCATTTTAGGGGAAGCCCTGAAAGGGGCGAGAGGTGGGGACATCTGACTTATTTTTGTTTGATCATTTATAACTGTTGCCTGTTTCTGCCTCCTTTGCTAGTTTCCTTATTTTCTTCCCATGGTGCTGGGGGATTTAATTTAGGGCTACGCACATGTAAGGCAAGGGGTCTGCTATTGTTACTGCTACATTCCAACTCATGACTGGTTTTATTTGGTTTTTGTTTTGGGGTCATAGCTGGCTGTGCTCAGGGATCCAGGCCTCTGAGCCCCCGTAGGTTTAATTCCCCACTTCATTTGTATATCATGGTTTACAAAGTTGTTCATGATGCATTTCTTACAGGCATTCAATATTACAACACCAATCTCACCATCACTGTGACCTTCCCTCCACCATGGTCCCCATTTTATCAACTACTCCCCAGGCTTGCCCCCTTAGCAGGCACAAACTAATTTATTTTCTGTTGCTTGTTACAACTAGATGGCTTGCCAAAAATTCTTCAGTAAAAAAAAATTTTTGTGGAAATCATTATATCTCATGATGGGGTCATTAAGTCCTTGTCTGTGGATCCGTTGTTGCTAGCTGAGCCTTCTGTGTTAATGTCTTTGTTGATTGAGCTTAGGCTTCTATGTTACTTTCCCATCTAATTTGGTGGGCTCCTACTGGGATGTAAGTTGATTGCTCCAGGAATATTTAACTGGGCCATGAGTTTACATGGCGGCAGTTGTGGGATGTGGCTGTGGCTTCCAGAAGTACGAGGGGTGGAGGCGGGAGGCTGCCCACTCCCACTTCCAAAAGACCCCAGAGTTTTCAGCCAGGAGACCAGTGTACTTCTGAATTTTTGCAGCTAGTTGATTTCTTCTGAGATTTAAGTGGGAGTCTGTAAAGCTGAGCCGATGGATGAGCTTACATGTCAGCGGATGTGGGTGTGAGCCCCAGCTTTAAGAGAAGAATGTTGAACGATCAGCGAATATAGATGAATTTTTTTCAAGAATTTTTAAAATGAAAAGATGGCAAGTGGGGGCTTGGGGGGATTTAGAGGGTGGTAGGAAATTGGGAACACTGGTGCTGGGACATGTATACTAGTAGGGGGATGAGTGTTGGAATACTGTGTGACTGAAACCAGTCATGAACAGTTTTATAATGGGCTATTTTTCTGTGATTTAATAAAAAAAAATTAAAAAAATAAAAAGACAAGGAAAGAAGTTTGGGGCCCGAGAGATAGCTAGTATGGCAGAGAGGGCCTAGGCACAGCTATGTGTGGCCAGTCCCCGCCTGCCCCAAAGCAGCAATGTACGGTCCCCCAGCACTGCCAGAAATGATTCCTGAGCGTCGAACCATGCGTTAGCCCTGAACACTGCCAGCTGTGACCCAAAAACCAAACCAAAACATCAAAAGGAGCAGAAGATGTGGGAAGTAGTTAGAGATGAAGGAAAGTTAAACCTGTTGGTGGTCGAGAGGACAGAGGTCCACAGGAGGGAAGGTAGGAGAGGTTCTTCCTAAGGGACCCTGGGGATGGTCCTATCAGATGGCCGTAGCAGAGGATACCAGGCGACAGACTTAGAAGCTCTCCAATTCCCCTCCCACCTCCCACACCAGGTGACCTTGGTTTCCCTTGGGAAGGAATGGAGCATCTTGACACAGGAATGGTCTTTTCATCTAAACTTCTTCCCCTCAGGGAAAGTTCCCCCAAGGCGACAAGGCTGAGGATGGATTCCATGGCGTCTCCCCCGTGAACGCTTTCCCCCCACAGAACGCCTACGGTAAGGTCACTCGCGGGCCACTGTCAGTGTTCAGGACCTGATTGGTGGGCAGGGACCTGATTGGGGGAGGGGGCTTTGGATGATGCTAAGAGGTGGGTGTGGTGCTCCTCCGTCCTCTGAACTGACTCGCCTGCCGTGCTCAGGACTCTATGACCTCGTGGGCAACGTCTGGGAGTGGACAGCTTCCTCCTATCTGCCTGCCGCCCAGGACATGCGTGTCCTCCGGGGGGCATCCTGGATTGACACCGCAGATGGCTCTGCCAATCACCGTGCCCGAGTTACCACCAGGTAAGGGCTTGCCTAGCTGGGGGCTGAGTCCTGGCCTCCTGGATCATTTTCTGCATTTCTGCATCTTCTGCTCTTTTTTTTTTCTTTTTGGGGTCACACCTGGCAATGCACAGGGGTTACTCCTGGCTCTGCACTCAGGAATTACCCCTGGTGGTGCATCATATGGGATGCTGGGAATTGAACCTGGTTCGGCTGCGTCCAAGGCAAACACCCTACCCGCTGTGCTATCACTCCAGCCCCTGGTTTTTTGTTCTATTTTGGCAGTCACACCTGGTACTGTATTGGCACTGCCAGCTCCTGCAGATAGCGAAACTAAAGCGAGTAGTACTTGCTTTGAAGAGCAAAAGAGCCCTGGGCAGCTGGTACCTTTTCTTGCCAGCTCTTAACTCCAAAGGAGACTTTGTGTTCAGTATCTTAATTATTTTTTTGTGTTCAGTCTCTTCATTATTTGGGTTTCTCCTTTTGTTCTCACAATGGGTATGTGGAAGGAAGAAAGTGTAATGTCTATTCTAGCCGGTTATGGGCAGGTGTCATGGATACACTGACTCTCAAAACTAAGTAGACACGTGAAAAATCATTGTCTTGTTTTCAATCAAGGATAAACAGGCTCACGGAGGCCCTTCCGTGATATGTCTGGGAACTGAGTGTTCCTCTGAGATGTCAAATATTAACTGTAAAGGTCGTTTTCGGCAGGATTTAGCTTTATTTTCCCAACTGTAAAAGGACAGTCTGTGCTTGCATTTGTCTTATTTGGAGTATTTCATTTACTTCTGATGGAATCCAGTTTGCTGCTTATTCCCCACAGATGGTGACAACACATGGTAGAGCTCCAGGGTCCCAGGTTTCCTTTCGGATTCTGTCCTTGGTTCATTTGTAGGTTAATTTTCATCACTCTCCCTGCAGTTCCTGCTCTTGCATTCCAAAATGACTGGAGAAGGCCTTTCCTTTGACACACTGAGCCCCTAGTTTTCTGGGTTTTTGTTTTGTTTTTTTTTTCTTTTTTTACAACAGTAATGAAAAAATCCGACTTAGAAACCAGCTCTGCTGCCCATTTGGTGATGCTGGGGCCAGTGACAGGCCTTGGACAGGGCATGGGAATCTTCCTCTCTGTACTGGTGGTCAAACCCCACCTTCCGGTACTCACAAGAAGAGCTATAGGGAGGTGCTTTGGAAAATCTACAGTGTTGTTTGGTGCTGTCATATTCTCGTTTCTTACAGAGTGGTCTTTTTTCCAATGAGTTATTCTAAGGTATTAGCTATTCTTCTACCTGCCGCCCAGTAGAATCTCTCAAGGTCACTCTCAGTTGCTCTTCCTTTATCCCACAGGCATTTTTTTTCCTTCCTATTTGCTATTTTATTTTGGAGCCATACTTGGTGGCAATGCTCTGGCCTTACTCCTGGCTCTGTGCTCAGGGGTTCACCTGTGGTGCAAGGGGTTGAACCAGGGTTGGTACAGCGAGAACCTTCACCTCCGAACTCTCCTTCCTGCCCCCACGATCCATTCTCATCCCCTTTCCTCAGGAGTAGCACACACATGCGTGGCACATGTTTGCACCAGGTGGCGTTCTAGATCAGGTCCTCTCTAGGCTTTGGATGTCCGACCACAGAGGCCTGGGCAGGAAATTGGGTAAGGCTCCAAACAGCTTTTTCTCAAAAAGTCCGTTGTCTCTTTCCTTCTCTGATGACAGGATGGGCAACACGCCAGATTCAGCCTCAGACAACCTGGGCTTCCGCTGTGCTGCCGATGCAGGCCGACAGGAGCTGTGAGCAGCCGTGCCGGGGCCTCGTGGCCTTTCCTGGCCTTATTCCAAACACAGCCAATGTCCGAACGCGTCAGTCTCAGAAATGACCTTCCCCTTTGACCATCCCTCGGCAGGAGGGAAAGGACTCTGACCTTGGACAAGACGCCTGACTCACGGATTGTGGCTGGGAGCTGAGTGTTCCTCTGAGTTGTCAAATATTAACTGTAAAGGTGTTTTCTTGAGGCAGGATCTCTCTTCGTCTTCCCAGCAGCTTGCTGCAAAAGGACAATCTTTGCTTGTACTTGCCTTATTTGTGGCGCTTCATATGCTTCCTGAAGAAATCTAGTTTCTGAAATCTCTTGTCACGTCAAGTGCCACAGGTGCTTTAAAGAGCAGTGTTAGGGCCAGGCGTGTGGCTGAAGTGGTACAGCACCTTCTTGCATGTGCAGGGTCCTGGGTTCAGTCCCCAGCACCGAGTGCCACAACACGCGCACACAAACACACCAACCACCACCGGGTATAGCTCTCACGACCCCCACAACAATTGAGAGATAAAAATGCAATGTGAGTAAAAGTTCCAGAACTGAAGATTTTACCAGGCAGAACTGTGTGTCCGGAGGAGTCTCGAATAGTGCTCCAGAAAGACCCACCGGCGGCTTTCTTGCTCTCAAGTGACCGCTACCCTGAGATTCTCCTAACACGGTCCTGGTAACACCTGGTAACACCGGGTGCTGGAGACAAAGTCTCCTTAAAGGTCCAGCACATCATGGTGTTTGGGCGTGTGGCTCAGTCTGTTATTCTCACCCCATGTGCGGGTCCTGCTCTGCGGGAGGGTAGTGGCCTCACCACTCTCACTCCTAGGCCTGTGGTCCACCCTCTGCTGCCCCCAGCCCGCCTGGCCTGCCGCTGACCCTCAGTAGTCGTCCTCGGCCAGGGAGAGGAGCACCGCCTTGGGTGTGTTCTCAAACAGGGCTGCCCGGTTCTGCTGCTGCCCCTTCTTCACCCAGTGGCCGTAGATCCTGAACGCGTAGGCGTCGATGAGGCGCCGCAGAGGGCGGAGGGCGTAGGGGTCTCGGATGACGATCTCGCGGGTCACGGGCTTAAGGCGGCGGTACTGGTAGTAGATGCGCACGGAGGCCAGCACGGTGAGAAGGATCACCTGCAGGACGCCAGTGCTGAGTCGAGGACCCCTGCCCCCTCCCCCAGCATCCTCAGGGATGGAGGGGGCACAGGGGCCCTGGGAGCACAGCCCCCAGGCTCGGAGGGGCTGGCGCGATAGCACAGTGGGTAGGGCCAACCCGGGTTCGATTCCCAGCATCCCATATGGTCCTCTGAGCACCGCCAGGAGTAACTCCTGAGTGCATGAGCCAGGAGTAACTCTTGTGCAACGCCAGATGTGACCCCAAAAAGCAAAAAAAAAAAAAAACCAAACAGAAGGGTCTGGAGTGGACGTGCCCCCGCCCTGGGCCCCGGCCGGGCTTTAGTACCTTGAACTTGCCCCGGGGGCTGAAGTGCCGCACTTCTTCCGCCACGTACTGCTGGAAGAAGGGGTGCGCCAAGGCCTCTTCCGCCGTACAGCGGCCCTGCGGACTCACCACCAGGAAGCGGGAAACCTGGGCAAACGCGGAGGCAGGGTCCACAGCAGCTCTTATGCCCCCCCCCCCCAGGCCTCCGCCCCGTAGCCTGTGCGCGCTCCACCCCGCAGGCCTGGCGCCTCACCAGGTCTTTGACGGTGTCCGAGTAATCATCCCACTCCGGAGAGCCAAACTGGTAGCTGCCGCTCATGATCATCCTGAGCATCAGCATCTGCTTGCGGTGCCAGAAGGGCGGGGAACCGGCCAGGAGGGTGTACATGATGACCCCGGTGCTCCACCTGGCGGGGGCGGGGTCACGCTAGGCCCTCGGCGCCCCCCCCCCCCAAATCCCCAGCCAGGGGCTCCTGGCAGTGGGTATACCCTTTTCCCCATGGGTCACCTTCCCCCAGTGCACTCACATGTCCACCTCCTTCCCATAGCCCGGGTGGTCCTCATTCATGGAACACTCAATGATCTCGGGGGCCAGGTAACTGGGGGTCCCGCAGACCTCTGCAAGAATCAACGGCCGTGAAAGAGGAAGGGCTAGGGCTGGAATGATAGCACAGCGGGTAGGGCATTTGCCTTGCCAACCCAGGTTCGATTCCCAGCATCCCATATGGTCTCCTGAGCTCGACCAGGAGTAATTCCTGAGTGCTGAGCCAGGAGTAACCCCAGTGCATCACCGGGTGTGACCCAAAAAGAAAAAAAAAAGGGCCACAGAAATGTAGTTGGGTCACAACTCTCCTGGCACTGACTCCCGGCTTCTCCACTTGGCTCCTGTGGGTTCCCTGTGCTTCTCCTGCCGCCCGGCCTTGTAACTCAGCCCTGACATGAAGAAACACCTGAGATGGGACTTCTGAGATGGCGGGGTGAGACCAGGAGAGAAATCCTGGCAGTTTCTGTGCCCGAGAGAGCTGGTGAGAGCCTGAGCCCCCAGCATGGCCAAGGTCATGCCAACCAGACCTCGCAACTTCTCTCCTGGCTGCAGCTGGCAGGAAAAACCAAAGTCTGTGAGCTTGATGTTCATGTCATCGTCCAAGAGGATGTTCTCAGGCTTGAGATCCCGGTGCACGATGTTGAGTCTGTGCAAGGTGCAGATCACCTCCAGCAGGGCTCTCATGATCTTTCTGGAAGGAAGATGGCAGATTGTTTGGGGGCCACATCAGCAGTGCAGTGCTCAGGGGTCGTTGCCAGAGATGCTTGGGACTCTGTATTGCCAGGGATCGAACTGGGGCCTCCTGCCCTTTGAGCTCTCTCCCCAGTCCCGAAAATGTTATCCCTGCTCTTTGGGTTAGATGACAGGCAGGGAGAAGACCTGTGCCAGCCAGAGTAGAATTGGGCGACCATCTCCACTGAGCCAGAGGGATGGAGGCCATAAAGGGCATGAGCCACTCCTGGTCGACCAGCTGCACACCACAGCGCCGCCAGTGCCCCAGCGGGGGGAGGGGGAACTGCAACCTTACCTGGTTTCCTTCTCACTTAGGGTCACCTTCTCAGTGAGGTAATCAAAGAGTTCCCCTTTCTTCATCCTGCGAGGTTAGAGGTGTTGTAAGACCTCCTTTCCCTGCTTCCCATTCTAGTGCTGCTAGAAGCAGAGTGGGCCACCCTTCACAAAAGGTCAAGGCCTGGCAGGGTGAGTAAAATGTCTTGGAGGACTAGAGATAGAAGGAGCAGGAGAGTCTTGAGAAGTGAGATGGTCTCGCATTGAGGGGCTCCCGGGGTATGGAAGGGTTAGGAGGATAAGGAGTGTCCTGATCTCCATGACAAAATATGCATGTTTTGCGTTTTTTTTTGGGGGGGTGGTCACACCAGGGGTTACACAGCTAATCCAAAGCATAGGAGTTACTCCTGGCTTCTGCACCCGGGAATTACTCCTGGCGGTGCTCAGGGGACCATTAAGGGATGCTGGGAATCAAACCCGGGTCGGCGATGTGCAAGGCAAATGCCCTCCCCGCTATACTATTGCTCCAGCCCATGACAATATATAGAAAGAAGTAGCAGTACAAGTGTTTGAGGAGCAAAGTTGGCTGAACCAGGATAGAGAACTGTCCCTCAGGGCAGAGAGGTAGCTCACTGGCAGAACACATGCCTCACAGGTGTAAATCCCAGGCTTGATCTCTAGCAACAAAAAAAATACAAATTGTGGGGTAGGGTGGGGTGGGGTGGGGTGGTACAGAGCAATAGTATAGCAGACAGGGCCCTTTTCTGGCACATGGCCAACTACGGTTCAATCCCTGGCACCCCATATAGTTCACTGAGTCCACCAGGAGTCACCCCTGAGTGCAGAGCCAGAAGTAAGCCCTGAATACTACTAGGTGTGGCCCCAAACAAAAACAACAATGTTTTAGGCTGAAACTATAGTACAGTGAGGAGTGTGTTTGCTTTGCACATGGCTGACCTGGGTTTGATCCTGGTATTCCATATAGCCTCCCCAGCGCCAGGAGTAATTCCTGTGTGCAAAAGCCAGAAGCCACCCCTGAGCATCATCAGGTGTGGTCCAAAAAAACAAAGTGTTATAGGGCCAGAGTGATGTTACAGTGGGAAGGGTACTTGCCTTGCATGCAGCAGACCCAGGTTCAATTCTAAGCATCCCATATGGTCCCCCGAGCACTGCCAGGAGTGATTCCTGAGCACAGAGCCAGGAGTAATACCCTAAGCCTTGCTGGCGATAGCCCAAAAACAAAAAGCATTTCAACTATCCCACTCCTTGGGATGATCTAGAAGAGCTCTCAACTAGAGCAATGTAGTTAGACTCAGAGGGCCAAACAGGGAAACATTAAAAATGCTTTTCCAAGCAAGTTCTCTAAAGGTTAGAGACATTTGAGCTACCCCAGGGACACTAAACAGAGCCGGGGCAGCTGTCAAGTCTGAAGATATTATTGGCCATGTGATCCTTTCTAAATAGGAAAGGTACACCTTGTCCCTGCCTGCCCACCCTCCAGAGTGGGACTCCCGGGTGCCAGGGCTCACACTTCATGGGTCCGGGGAGAGGGATTTCGAGGATATAACCTAGCATTACAGAGGTAGCCTTCCTCAGAGATAATGTATGCAGCACTTTTTATCATTTAAATTCTGTTTTTAAGACACTAGGAGAGATGGGGCCAAAATGATAGTACTGTGGAGAGGGTGTTTGCCTTGCACGCAGCCAACCCAGGTTCCATCTCTAGCATCCCATGTGGTCCCCTGAGCACCACCAGGGGTAATTCCTGAGTGCAAAAGCAAAAGTAACCCCTGAGCATAGCAAGGTGTATCTGCTTGCCCCCCCCCCCCCCCGAAATAAAAGACACTAGGAGAGATATTACCAGTAGCAACAAAAAGATTTGAGGTGGAACTGGTGGAGAAAAGTTGATACTGGTGAAGAATTTTGTTACAGTGCTTTAATAAAGTAAAAAACAAAATGATTTGGGGGTGGGGGCTGGTTGCAGGGCTATACCTAGCAATGCTCAGAAACTGCTCTTGTCTTGGTACTCAGGGATGACTCATGGCTCAGGAGACCACATATGGTGCTGCTTGTTGAACCACAGATGGCCACATACAAGGCCAGTATCTTAACCCTTAATCTCCAACCCAGCAGCCAAAAAGAGCTGCCAGTGTATACCGCTGACTGCAGGGCCCTACCTTCCCAAATTAGGTTATGTCTGCACCAAATATGCACGCACCAAATTAGGTTATGTCATGTTGAGTACAAGAACACAGCTCACTTTCAGTAGGATGAGAGTGTAAAATGTTATAACTATATGAAATCTGCTTGAACAGTTGACTCCAGTAACCCCCGTCCTGTTGTGGAGGAATCAAATCACCCCTTTCCCAGTGATTCATGCAGCAGGCATTTACATTGTTAGTGCAGACTGAGGGTGGTGGAGGATGGGGGAAGTTCCCTCCCTGACAGTTTTTTCATTGATGATTTTTGGGCCACACCCAGCATAGCTTAGGGGTTACTCTTAGCTTGGTGCTTGGGAGTTGCTCCTGGTTATGCTCAGGGACCATGTGATACAGAGCATCAAGTCTGGGGCTCCTACGTGTAAAACATGCTAAGGTTAGTCCTTCTAGCTATCTCTCTAGCTCCCCTGCAGCCTTTTCTGTTATTGTTGTTGCCTTTTTTTTTTCATCATAAGGTGGGAGTGGGTGTGTGTGGAGCTTATTGGGTCACATCCAGCAGTACTTAGGGGCCACATCAAGCCTGTGCAGTGTGGGGATTATCAAAACTAAGTAAGCACCTTAATTTTTGTTCTATTTCTCTGGCCCTAGCAACCATTTTGAATAAAGATATGAAGTCTGGATGTATGATTCACTGAGTACTTTGTGATGCTTATAGAGATAGAGCTGTCAGTATCACTTTTCTCAACAACAAAAAAAATTGTGTTTTGGGTGGGGGCACACCTCATGGTGCTCAGGGCTTAACTCCTGGATCTGTGCTTAGGGAGTGCTCCTGGTATGCAAGGAACCTTATTGGGTGCTGGGAATCAAACTCAGGTCAGGTGTGTGCAAGGCAAACACATAACCTGGCAATGCACAGGAGTTACTCGTGCACTTAGGAATTACTCCTGGCAGTGCTCGGGGGACTATATGGGATTCTGGGAATCAAACCTGGGTCGGCTGGGTGCAAGACAAATGCCCTACCCGCTGTGCTATCGCTCCAACCCCCCAAAAGACTCTTAAAGTTAATAAAGGACCCATGGGTCCCTTGAGCAAAAAGCTTGGTGATAGAAAGTCCAACAGTACAGAAGCGAGGGACTGTCACAGACACATTGGTGAAAGGATGATGCTCATAAAACCTCTCCCACTGTCTCCCTGGCCGGAAACTTCTTGTTTCAGTATGTTGGCTCCCCACTTTCCACTCCCGCTTTCTTAACATTTGCAGGATCCTTTTCAAAGTCAGATTTTCCCACTCTCCCGCTTTTGCCCTTGGAGCTCTTGCCATAACTAAAATGCCTGCAGAATCTGGACTTTGCATTTTGCCGTCATAGGCTTTCTCTGCTTCCCCCACCCTGGCACCCTGGCTGGTTCTCAGACATGCCAAGCCCATCCCCAGGACCCTGGTGCTCACGTTGCTGGGTCCTGCGCTCCAGATCTTGGTTTCAATCCCGTTGAAGGTTCCGTCTGGTCTTCCCTGACCACTGTGTCTAAAGCCTCGTCTCATTCGCTATTCTACTTTATACAGATGTATAGGAATTCATACTCAAATTAGGAAATGTAGTCAAATTGCTTGATCTGTTTCCTGTAAAAGTTTTTACACGAGGCTAGGGATAAACTAGAATAAGTAAAGAATAACCACCATCATCATTGTAGTTAATAATTAGCATTTATATTGCAACAATTCCTGTGCTGTTATGGCCCCTGTAATGCCAATGAGAAAGTTGCTCCTGAAAGCAGGGAGCCAGGACTAAAGGACCAAGGATTGAAAACTCTAGCGGGGGGCTGGAGTGATAGCACAGTGGGTAGGGTGTTTGCCTCGCATGTGGACAACCCAGGTTCGATTCCCAGCACCCCATATAATATCCTGAACACTGCCAGGAGTAATTCCTGAGCGCAGAGCCAGGAGTAACTCCTGTGCATTGCCGGTTGACCCAAAAATAAAATAAAAAAAAAAACAACACCAAAAAACTCCAGGGGTTCTGAATGATCCCAGGTGCTCATCCGCCAAGAGTGTGATCCTATCTAAAGTGTAGGCAACCGGATGCTGGTCCCTACAAAGCAAAGGAGGGACACAATAGGCCCCAGAGTGTGGCTGGCTGTGGGACTGGGTACTTACAGATCAAACACCAGGAAGAAGAAAGTGTTGGTCTCGTAAGTGTCCTTCAGCTGGACTGAAATAGAAATAGTACCTTGTCTCAGGTAACAGAGGAGTCTGGTTAGGGGAGTCAGGGATCTGGGCCGGGAACTGAAGGAGAAGCCGCAGTGGATGCCAGGATGGTACCGAACGAAAGTTCCCGGAGTAGTGGGCCCCAGGAGCTCACTCCCTACCACACCTGGAAGCTCTTCTCTGTCCAGAAATGGCCAGGACAGCGCTGAAGGCCTGACACACTGAGGTGAGCTGTAAATCTCAATACACCCTGTTGGTGGCCACCCAAGGCTCACGAGGACAGCATTTTTTTTTCCTTTTTTGGGTCACGCCCAATGATGCTCGGGGTTACTTCTGGCTCTGCACTCAGGAATTACTCCTGGCAGTGCTCAGGGGACCACATGGGATTCTGGGAATCAAACCCGGGTCAGCCGCATGCAAGGCAAATGCCCACTGTACTATCATTCCAGCCCCACGAGAATAGCATTAGGACAGTCTCACTCACTGATGTTGGGGTGTCCCGAGACTTTGCGCAGGATGTCCACCTCCTTGAGTGTGGCCTCCCGCAGCTCCTGCACCTCCTTAGGGCTGAAGCTGCCCCCACCGGTGACATCGATGATCTTCACTGCATACTCCTGGCGGGTGGGTTTGTGGACGCAGCGCCTGACGACGCTGCTAACACCCCTAAGGGCCAAGGAGACATAGGGGCAGGGGACTGTCACCCCAGGAGGAACCCTGGCTGGTCATAGGGCTGGTCTAGGCCCTGGTAGGATGAAGAAACTTCAGGAAGGAGGGAGCTGGTGGCAAGGTTGATCTTAGGGCTCTCTCTGGCCCCCAAGTTAGAAGCCAAGAACTCCTTGGGGCCACGGAACCCCAGGCCCCACCCAAGGTGGTTGAAATGTGTCTGTTTTACAGCACTGGGAAGCTCTTCTGGGCTTATCTAGCTTATCACTGTCACTGTCCTCCCGATGCACGGGGAGCTTGCCAGGTTTTGCCGTGCAGGTGAGATGCTCTCGGTAGCTTGCCAGGCTCCCCGAGAGGGGCGGAGGAATCGAACTCGGGTCAGCCTTGTTGGCCGTGTGCAAGGCAAACACCCTACCCGCTGTGCTATCGCTCCAGCCCTATCTAGCTTATCCCACTTATCTTCAGGGAGGCAGGAACCGCAAACGGATCATGCCAAGGGCACTGTGCTGAGGGGACGTGAGCAGCGGGCCGGGCTGACCTGCCCAGGATCTCCTTGGGTTCATAGTTCTCGTAGAAACTCTGTGCGGAGTGTGAGTCCGGCAGGACCTCGTCCCAGGTCATGCTTAGCGACTGGAGGGGACTCGGAAGCACCCTGAGGGAGGTAGAGAGGAGTGTCAGCCTTCCTGCCCTCAGAATACTCAGAATTAATCAAATCAATAAATTGGAATTGATTAGAATACTCAGAATCAATCAAATTAACAAATTAACAGAGGAGGTGTATTTCAGAGTTTTTTTTTGGGGGGGGTGGAGTGTGGAGGACTCTTCCTTCCTCCCTCCCTCCCTCCCTTCCTGTCTTCCTTTCTTCCTTCCTTTCTTCTATTTGGAGCACATCTGACAATACTCAGAGGTTACTCCTGGTTCTGCACTCAAGAATCACTCCTGATAGTATTTGAGGGACCATATGGGATGCCAGGGATCAACCCCGGTCAGCCATGTGCAAAGCAAGTGCTCTACCCGCTGTACTAACTCTCTAGCCCCTCTAGTTTTCATTTCTTTTTTTTTTTCTTTTTGGGTCACACCCAGCGATACTCAGGGGTTACTCCTGGCTCATGCACTCAGGAATTGCTCCTGCGGTGCTCGGGGGACCATATGGGATGCTGGGATTCGAACCTGTGTTGCCATGTTGGCTGCGTGCAAGGCAAGCACCCTACCCGCTGTGCTATCGCTCCAGCCCAAGTTTTTATTTCTTAACTTGTGTTTCCTCACACCTAAAATCTTTTATGTCTTTATTAAGGATCTAAATATGCATTTCTTGTTCACCAGGACTTTAGGGATTGCCATATGTCATCAGAAACAAATGCTTCCTTACTTTAATGTAGTTTTCCCCAAAATTTCTGTCTTGGTTTCTTCTTCTGGGAAGCCCTCAGATTCTGAAAAATAAAACTTTCTTACACAGAGCAGTGATATTTTAGCTATAATCTTAAGCTGTTTGGGAGCTGACACTTTCTTAGTCATTGGTGGGACCTCTAGTGAATGTTTAAAATAAGCGTTGAGAATTGAGAAAGTGCATTGGGAAATGCCAGGCTTGCTTCATCCTGGTAGCTGGTCAACCAGGCCTTGGCCCAAAGCAGAATCTGAGACAGCAGCATGCTACAGAGCCCGGCAGGTCAGAAAGAACCACAGAGAAACTGCAGAAGACAGATTAAAGTACAATTTGTTTTCAACTCTGACGAGATATGCTGGTTCTGACTTTCCTCTGCCTACTCTTGTAGAAAGGGGCTGGAGCGATAGCACAGCGGGTGGGGTGTTTGCCTTGCACACAGCTGACCCGGGTTTGATTTCTCCGTCCCTCTTGGAGAGCCCAGCAAGATACCAAGAGTATGCCAGCCACACAGCAGAGCCTGGCAAGGTCCCCGTGGCATATTCAATATGCCAAAAATAGTAACAACAAGTCTCACAATGGAAACGTTACTGGTGCCCACTCAAGCAAATTGATGAACAACAGGAGGACAGTGCTACTCTTATAGAAAATGTGAAGAACTGGGGCAGGGAGATGGCTCGGGGCACTGAGGGTATGAGCATTGCATGTGGGATCCCCAGCTTTGATCCACAACCAAAGTATGGACCCTCATCCCTATAGGAGAATCCCTCAGGCAGCGAGTCATAAAAACTTTTGAGTATTTGGGGTGTGACCCCCCCTCAAAAAAAAAACTTGCCCAAAGTGAGAAATCTCACAATTTTGCCTAAGTAAAATACTTCTCCCTTAACTTACTTTTGTTTGGTTGGTTTTAGGGCCATGGCTGGCAGTGCTCGGGGCTTACTCCTGGCTCTGTGCTCAGGGATCACCCCTCGCAGGCTCAGGGGACCATATGGGGTGCCAGGGATCGAACCCAGGTCTACAGCATGCTTAGCTTCTTTTCATCCCTCCCAGTGAGAATTGTCCTACCATGAGCAACCCCCTCCTTCCAGGTTCAGTGTTTCTTCCTACTCATTCTTTTTTGCTTTTTGGGTCACACCTGGTGATGCTCAGGGGTTACTCCTGGCTCTGCACCAGGAGTTACTCTGGCAGTGCTTGGGGGACCATATGGCATGCTGGGAATCGAACCCGGTTGGCCGTGTGCAAGGCAAACGCCCAACCCACTGCGTTATCACTCCAGCCCCCCTACTCATTCTTAACCAGGACGCTCATACTTAGTCCCTGAGACAGTCTTGTATTCCTTCACACTCTGTAGAGCGTTCTGAAGAATGCAGTCGTGGGCCCAGCCTTGGGTAACATTTGTCAGTCTGTGCCATCATCTTCCCCGTGACACCGATTTACTCTAAGGTGTCCCTTTTGCCCAAGTACAGGCACGTAGTCAGTACTGATCCCTAAATGTGAGTTGATGGTTGCATTGTAACCCTTTGGTCCAGGGTGCTACTAGCAGAAAGTGTCATGTCTTTCACCCAACTGGCTAGGGCAGGCCTGAGGGGCAACACTAGCCGTAACACTAAGCAATGGGCTCCGAGGGGATGAGCCGGTGGCTTTGCGTTGGGAACAGAGAGGCCCCTGAGGTACCTGAAGAGCAGATGAGGACAGGCGCCCATCATCCACCAGCAGGAAGAGAGGCGCGAAACAGAGGCTGCCACTTAGCAAGGCCACCTGCAGCCCCGCTTTTACCGTCCTTTCTGGACCCGGGAAGACTTGTCTGGGTGGCCAGTGTGCTGAGCAGTCACGTGGCCGCCCATTCCTGGGCCTGCTGCTGGGTGCCTGGTTACCAGAGGGAGACTCAGAATAACAACAACACTCCCCCCTGCCAGCCGCGGGCTCCTTGCTGGCAACCCCAACCCAGCAACCAAGCACACGATTATTTTTTTTCCAAGAAAAAAAAAAAGCCCATTACTTGGCCAGTCCTTTTAAGTTCCTGAGGACATCCCCCTCTGTCTACCCATCCCCAAAGATGGGTAGAAGCGAGTCTCTTCTTATAACTTTCTCCCCAGAACCAGCTCTCTGGGCTCCTGGTCTATCTGTATTTGGTCCCAAATGCTCTTCTGGTCTGGAGGCTGCATCCCCGGCTTCCCAAGTTCCGGTTGACTTGCTTCTACTGGCATTGGTGGGGAAGTTTTACCTCACTCCACCTCCTTGCTCTAAAGTGTACCCGAAGGGCTGACTTTGTGCCTCTCACTTCGTCCACCCACATTCTCCCAACACCTTTAGAAAATAAGGAGAAAGAGCCCGGTTCTTCATGAAATATAACATCTTTCCCTCAACAAAGTCAAAAAAAAAAACCAGTCACAGAAAACTTCTTTCTATCAACAAACTCCCAGGCTGGGTGTTCAAGAGAAACTCCCACTCTCTTAGCCCTTAGAGAGGGCAGAAGAGGATCTTGCAGATTTAGGGTTTTTCTCTTCTCCACCCCAGACTCTCCCTTTCTCTGCCCGCTACCTGGCTACTGTCTGTCACTGGTCCAGCTACTCACCAGATTTTCAAAGCTTTTGAGTGAAAGTGGCCAGAATCCTGAAGGTTCCAGAGTCCCTTGGGGAGAGGAAATAACAGAGGACTGAAGTATACCCGAGCAGGCACTCCTGACGAGATAGAATATCTCGCTGCTTTTCCTACAGGCTTTGCTCCTTTGCTACATGCCAAAAATAAAGAACAACTGCAAACCCGGCATGTAGGTCAAGGCTCATCAGAGCCCGTTGCCAAATCTCACCAGCTGGTGTCCTCTGGTGGCGGACAAGGGAAGTTTGGGTGACTTGGGGCCAGGCAGGACAGCAGAAAGTGATCTCTAGACTCCCGTTGGTCCAGGCCCAGGGGAGACTGGCTTCTCCGGGAGCCATTTACAACACAAACAGTCTGGAAAACTCCACACACGGGCAGCACCAAAACTGAGCCCTGACTGCGGCAGAACCCAGCGTTGACAGGACTCACTCCTCACTCTCCGTCAGTTTGTGTAGCTGCCTTACAAAATGCAGTGGGCCGGGATTACACAGTTGCAGTGCTGGGAATCCTGGGGAACGAATATGAAGCTTCATGGTTGTAAGGAAGGCACTTTGCTACTGAGGTAACCCCTAAGGCTACCTTTTTTTTTTCTTTTTGGGTCACACCCGGCGATGCACAGGGCTTACTCCTGGCCTTGCACTCAGGAATTACTCCTGGCAGTGCTCAGGGGATCATATGGGATGCCGGGAATTGAATCTGGGTCGGCCACATGCAAGACCTACCCCGCTGTACTATCGCTCCAGCCCCCTAAAGCTACCTTTTAAAAAACCCAAATTCTAAATTATCAAATGGAGATGGTTTCACAGATAAACCACTTTTGTGTATAAACATTTAAGTCACATGCTCTGTTCTTTGCAGAAGTTATTTTGTGCTACAAGCAGCTGTGCTTAAGGCTTACCTCCCTGGCTCTGCACTCAGGAATAATTCCCAAGGGGGACCAAGGGGTGACAGGTCTTGGGGCTTGGCCAAGTTAGCACTGGGCAAGGTGCCTTACTTGCTATACTATCTCTTTGGTTTCACACAACTTTTTTTTTTTTGGTCACACCCGGCGAAGCATAGGGATTACTCCTGGCTCTGCACTCAGGAATTACTCCTGGCGGTGCTTGGGGGACCCATATGGGATGCTGGGAATCAAACCCGGGTCAGCTGCGTGCAAGGCAAACACCCTACTTGCTCTGCTATTGCTCCAGCCCCTCATACAACTTTTTATAGAGCCTCTTATTTTTGAGTTTTTGGTTGTTTGTTTTAGGGCCACACCCAGGGATGATCAGGGGTCACTCCTGACTCAGCATCACTCCTGGTGGTGTTCGGGGGACCATATTGGATGTTGGGGATTGAACCTGGGTCTGCTGCAGGCAGGGCTAGCACCTTCTCACTGATTTTCTTGGAATAAGCAGGTGTGTCACACACACCCAGCTGAGGTGCTCAACACTCAGTTGCAGTGCTCAGCCAGGGCTGTTCTTTTGGTTGCGTTCACTCAGAATCTAGTTCATACACCACTCTGATTATATTGCTCACTGGCGATCACTGTGGTGTTCATAGTGCTTCTGGATGAACTCCCTTGATTTAGTACTCACAAATATTTTTTAAATTGCGATAGCACAGCAGTAGGGCGTTTGCCTTACAAGCGGCCAACATGGCCGACCCGAGTTCGATTCCTTCACCCCTCTCGGGGAGCCCGGCAAGCTACCGAGAGTATCTCGCCCATACGGCAGAGCCTGGCAGGCTACCAGTGACATATTTGATATGCCAAACACAGTAACAACAAGTCTCATGATGGAGACGTTACTGGGCCCGCTCGAGCAAATCGATGAACGGGAGGACTGTGACTGTTGACCGTGACCGTAGTAAAAACAAAAAAAAAGTGATGTGTGGTCATGCCACTTTGTGATCACATATGCTTGCCTGTATGATGCAGCCTGAATCATAGTGTGACCAGAAATAGATCACAGCACTCAAGGCTCATGCTCAGTGCATCTAAAAGCATCAAGGCAGGTCGTTTAACTCTGAAATAGTCCTCCAACTCAATATTTATTTATTTTGCTTTTTGGGTCACACTCGGTGATGCACAGGGATTACTCCTGGCTCTGCACTCAGGAATTACTCCTGGCGGTGCTCAGGGGACCATTTGGGATGCTGAGAATCGAACCCAGGTCGGCCACGTGCAAGGCAAACACCCTACTCGCTGTGCTATCACTCCAGCCCCAAGGCCCGAATTTTAGAAGGTGACACTTACTCAAGTTTGCCAGGCAGGAAAGAGCCTGGGCCAAATCCAGATATGGGCCCAGTGTTCTTTCACGGTCATCTGCTGAATTGCTACAGAAGTTGTAGCACTTTATACTTCCAGTTTGAGGTACGATATCCAAAGATCAAAGGATGAATTCAACTCAACCTTTAAGTGTAGGGTTACTCCCTGGCTCAGTGCTCAGGAGACCATGTTGCACTGGGATCAAACGTGGGCCTCTGGATGCAGAGTGCGCTCCAGCCCTTGAGCTAGCTCCCTGGTGCAATCCCCTTTTTCCTGGTTAATAAACAGTACCACCCTCACCCCACCTTAAGATAGACTCATTCTCCTTGTACTTTCAGTGTATGACAAAATTCTATTTGACTTTAGGGCAAAAAGCCAAAGAACCTAGTGGATTATTCTCCGCGTGCCTTTCTTTGCACACATGTCTATCGAGGAAATGACAAGTCCAGTCCAACTCTTGGATTTTACATATTTGGGCAATACCTCATATTGTGTTTGGGCTGGAGCGATAGCACAGCGTGTGAAGCATTTGCCTTGCACGCAGCCGACCCGGGTTCAATTCCTCCACCTCTCTCGGAGAGCCTGCAAGCTACCAAGAGTATCCCATCCACACAGCAAAGCCTGGCAAGCTCCCCGTGACATATTCAATATGCCAAAAATAGTAACAAGTCTCACAATTTGTTGAGATGGTATTCTGGGATAACTGTTGGCAGTGCTTGGGCCACTTGTGATGCCAGGGATAGAACCCAGGTTGGTTGCTTGCCAAGGCCTCACCGTATCACTGTACTCTCTCCTACCTCATCTTGCATTTCACTGATATCATTAGCTCATCTCATCTCTCCTTTACTGTTTCTTTGGTGAGGGGCCCACACCTGGTGATGCTCAGGGATCACTCCTGGTGAGACTCAGGGGACCAGATGAGATCAAACCCATGTCGATTGCATGCAAGGCAGGCACCCTACCCAATGTGTCACTTCTCTAGCCCGGTTCATCTCTCTGATGCACCATTTGGGTGCTCACCATTTTGCTCAAGCGGGCCCAGTAGTATCTCCATCGTGAGACTTGTTACTGTGTTTGGCATATCGAATACGTCACAGGGAGCTTGCCAGGCTTTGCCGTGCGGGTGCGATACTCTAGATAACTCTCGGGCTCTCCAAGAGGGGGTGGAGGAATCGAACTCGGGTCTGCCAGGTTGGCTGGGTGCAAGGCAAACACCTACTACTGGGCATTAACACTATGAACTTTTAGAGATTTGAGTCTCCAGAAAAATACAGATACACCTTCAGGAAAAAATATCACAGCACCAATCAGGAGGAGTGAATTGTCTATAGCCATTTAATTCCACAGGGCAAGGTGGTTCCTTCATTTTCAGGAACCGAATGATTAAGTATAATGGGGTGCGGTAAGTACAGAGGTTGGCCTTTTTTTTACTGAATTCAATAGTGCCACCGTGAATTGAAGCAATAAAAGCATGAAACAAAGTGAAACCCAGGAAAATCCTGTAAAAATATTTCCCTCACTTCTCTTTGTTGTTCCATGCAGGGCTCATACTCTTCGTTGCAGTATGATGGGGGTCTCACTGGCTAAGGTGGGGAGACCACACTGGCAGTGCTGTGCATGTAGCTTGTATGGTCTCATGTGTAAACAGCAGATACTAATAGCCACACCCTCGGGTTCTAAAATGAACTTTTGAAAATAGTCAGACTAGAGTATAAATGCACATCATTTTGGATTGGAGGTCAACTCCTAGCAATGAATAAAATGTGTTGTGAGGTATGGAGCTGGGTTCACTTTATTTAAAGTAAAAAGATTGAGTCCATTGTGCAGTTAGTGTGAATGAGAAAACTACAGTTCCTAAATAGAAGGAAAACATCTACACAACTGCCAATATTAAAGAACTTTGGGGGCCAGAGTGACAGTATAGCAGGTAGGGTGCTTGCCTTCCGGGAGGCTGAAACAGGAGATCTCTGGCATTCTGTATGCTCCCCCAAACCTGCCAGAAGTGATCCCCAAGTGCAGAGCCAGGAGTAAAGCCTGAGAACCTCCAGAGAATTCTTCTGGCCTTGAGGAGGAGGGTCAGGAGGTACAGGGCCACACCAGAAATTCTTCACTAACTGGGCCCAAGGTTCATCGCAAGGGCCTGGAGGATGTGATGCTGCTTGGGGGCCTCCAGGGCTGCACTTGGTGATGCTTTGGGACCATGTGGTGCTGGGAAGCAAACCTAGGTAGGTGCGTGCTCCCTAACTGCTGTATTATCTCCCAGTGCTTAAGAGAATAATTTTCACTTCTGACCAATAAACCAGATACTAGGGCAATGGTAACATGTACTGATGATCCTTTGACAGGAAACCAACCTGTTTTGTGTGTGTGCTACACCCAGCAGTGCTCTACACTCAGGAATTATGCCTGGTGTTCTGAGGATCAGACGGGATACCAGATATTGAACAAGGGTCGGCCACGTACAAGGCAGACATCCTACCTGCTGTACTTTCTCTCCAGCCCCGTGCTTTCCTTTTTACTTGATTAAGACGCAACTATTACCATTTCAAGCAGCAGCATGTTTACCAATGTAGTAAATTTCTTACTAAAATTTCTCTACAAACGTTTCTCAAACTGCATTGCCAGATCCTCTGAGATGCTTATCTATTATATTTCCTTGAAAAAATGCACATGTTCAACATGCAATTTTTTTCCCCTTTGCTTTTTGGGTCACACCCAGCAATGCTCAGGAATTATTCCTGGTAGTGCTTGGGGGACCATATGGGATGCCAGGGATCGAATCCTGATCAGCCATGTGCAAGGCAAACAAACACCCTACTTGCTGTACTACTACCTCTCTGGCCCCGAGCACATATGTAATTTATCACTATATACATACAAGAGATTTCATCCTGGAAGAAAATCACTTTATTCTAATCAATACACTGTAACATTACAAAAGCTGGTTTTTGTAATGGTGTTTAGGGAAGCCACACAAGCATTTGCTCAGCCCCAAACTCAGTACCAACTCATGGACCAGCCTGTGGGTGAGAGAATAATACCTATTCCATGCAAATTTTTGGAAGCAAGGAAGCTACTGAGAATAGGCTTTATCGGTGGCTTCACCCTTTGCATTTTACTACTAATGACATTTTTATGCTAAATTAACTGGTCATGAGTGGTGATTTTCCATGTCTTCAACTTCTTGATTAGGCTAATCCTACAAACAGAAAAGAAAACAAAAGGTTAGAAAATAACACACACACACACCCCCCATGTAATTTTTTCTTTTTTTGCTTTTTGGGTCACACCCAGCAATGCTCAGGGATTACTCCTGGCTCTGCACTCAGGAATTACTCCCGGCAGTATCGGGGGACCATATGGGATGCTGGGAAATGAACCCAGGTCGGCTGCATGCAAGGCAAATGACCCACCTGCTGTGCTATCGCTCCAGCCCAGAGCTATACTCAGAAGTGTCCAGGAGCCATATGTGGTGCCAAGAAGCAGATCAGGGTCACTTGCATGCAAGGCAAGTGTCTTAATAAAAAACGCCCTACCCACTGTACTACCATTCCAGCTCTCCTTGTACTAATTTTCCAGCCTACTTATCTTAAAAAAAAATTAAAATTCTCCAATTTATGAAAGAAAAGAAAGTCCAAGGTTATATACTTATTTTATTTTTTGTGACACACCTGGCCATACTCAGGTCTTTCAGTGCAGCATATGGGGTGCTGTGGATTGAACCCGGGTTGGTGGTGTGCAAGGCGAGCATCTTACCTGTTGTACTATCACTCCAGTCCCCAAAACATTTTTTAAAAACGTTTGGGATCAAGAGATAGTATGGGGGTAAGAAGCTTACCTTGCATACAGCTGACCCTGGCTCAAATCCCTGGAACCACAGATGGTTCCCCTGAGTATGGCCAGAGGTCACTCCTGAGCTTTCAAGACAAAAATAGCTCATAACACTGTGGATGAGAGATTGAAAATGTGACCAAGGGGCTGGGGATAGTACAGCACATAGACTGTTATCTTGCATGTGGACAACCTGGGTTTGATTCCTGACAACCCCTATAGACCCGAGACCCACCAGCAGGGATCCCTGAGCACATAGCCACTGAGCACCATCCGTGTGGTGCAAAACCACACCCCCTGCTACCCTCCCCACAAGCATTTGGTTTCTGGGTCACATACGCTATGGTTCAGGAGCCACCCCTCTGCAGTACATGAAGTTAACTGAACCTAAGTCTCTTAGCTCTGAGCTCAGGGGTCATTTCTGGTGGCTCAGGGGTCTTTATGTGGTACCCAGGATGGATACATGCAAGGTTAAGGGCGTTATCTCTTGTCCTCTCTCTCCATACCAGCCCCAGCTCCGCACCATTTTAAAAGATGACTTCTTTGGTTTAAATTAGGAGAGCACAGAGAGAACTCAACAGGAGCGCATGCCTTGCACGTAGAGAACTGGGCACTGCATACAGTCTCCCTAGCACCACCAGAAGAGGTCTCTTGAGCATTTCTGCTTTGAGGCCACAACCAGCAGTGCTCATTCTGCATTTTTTTTTGTTTTTTTTTGGGTCACACCCGGCGATGCTCAGGGGTTACTCCTGGCAGTGCTTGGGGGACCACATGGGATGCTGGGAACCGAATCCAGGTCGGCTGCGTGCAAGGCAAACACCCTACCCGATGAGCTTTTGCTTCAGCCCCGTCATTCTGCATTTAGGTTTTCACTCCGGGCAGGCTCGGAGGACCCTATGGGATGCTGGGGAATGAATCCAGTTTGGCCATGTGCAAGGCAAATCCCTAAACACTGCACTATCACTCTGGTCCAATTTAAACAAATTTCTTCTTCTTCATTTTTTAAAAATGTAGGAGTATTGCTATTTATTCAGCCATTGATTTGGCTGATTGAAATTTCGTATTTAAAAAAAATATGATTTGCATGATTTGTATTTTTTGGGTCACACCCAGCAATGCCTGGGAGACCATACGGGATGCCAAGGATTGAACCCGGGTCAGCCGTTTGCAAGGCAAACTCCCACCCCGCTGTTCTATCGCTCCAGCCCCTAAACAAAACTTCGATTTGTCAGTAAGTTAATTATTAAATACAGACTCTGTAAGTTCTATAAATCCAAAACCAATTTGGTGAATAGTATGCTGAACAATAGTATATTAAACAATAAGTAGATCACCTACCGTTTGCAAATCTGCACTGCTTCAACACCTCACTGAAACCCTCACAAAGTTTAAGATCACCCTGGTTCTGGGCACACTCCAAAAACTGTTTCATTTCATAGTGGCAGGGCCCAAACTGCTGCTGCTGCTGGTAAGCCGGCTGAGTTCCCTGCGGTTCCTGCAAGGCATAACATTCAGTAGTTAGTAAGGAAATCATATTTATACCCGAACAAAATTTATACTGTTGTTCACTGGGGAACAGAAAGCAAATGAAAGTTCCTATCTCTAAAGCATTTAAAATAAAAATGAAAGGTAAAAAAGGTAAAGGCCCTCCCGTTGATCGTCGATTTGCTCGAGCGGGCCCAGTAACGTCTCCATTGGAGACTTTGTTGTTACTGTGTCTGGCATATCGAATACTCTCGGTAGCTTGCCGGGCTCTCCGAGAGGGGCGGAGGAATCGAACTCGGGTCGGCCATGTTGGCCGCGTGTAAGGCAAACACCCTACCCGCTGTGCTATCGCTCCAGCCCATCACAATAAAGTAATTAAAAATTAAGGGGAAATGGCTGTTTTGTGCTAAGTCAAGAGAACTGCTACATTTCTATTTCTTGGTAAAAAAATACAATTTGTACCTAATTTGAAGATGTAAGCCTAAAACATTACCTCAAGAACCAAATGTGACTTTTGACAATCAGTTTTCTGTTAACAGCACAACAGATTAAAACTTTGCAGGCTGTCAGAATATGGAAAAAACCTGAGTGCCCGAGAACAGATGACTGGTTAAAGAAACTTTGGTACATCTACACAATGGAGTACTATGTAGCTGTTAGAAAAGATGAAGTCATGAAATTTACATACAAGTGGTACTACATAGAAAGTATCATGTTAAGTGAAATGGGTCAGAAAGAGAGGGACAGACAGAAAGATTGCATTCATCTGGGGAACATAAAGTAACAAAATAGGAGACCAACACCCAAGAGTGGCCGAGATTATTACCAGGAGTATTGCTCCATGGCTTGGAGGCCAGCCACACATTCTAGGGGAAAAGGGAGCTCAGATAGAGAAAGGAGCACCAAATAAAGGGTGTTGGGAGGATCCTCCCAGGATGGGAGAAGCATGCTGAAAGTAGACTACAGACCAAACATGATTGCCACTCAATGCCTCTTTTGCAAACCACAACACCCAAAAGGTGAGAGAGAACAAAAGGGAATGTCCTGCCACAGAGGCAGGGTGGGATGGGGAGATGGGGGGTGGGAGGGATACTGGGACCGTGGTGGTGGAAAATGGGCACTGGTGGAGGGATGGGTACTCAATCATTGTATAATTGAAACCTAAGCACAAAAATTTGTAAATCTACAACCGTACCTCATGGTGTTTCACTAATAAAAATAAAAAAAAAAAAAAAGACCCTGAAAAACAACAACAAAAAAACCTTTACAGGCTGTTCCTAAACTTAAAGCTTTAAATTACTTAAAAGCTGTTACAAAAGTATCTTCTAAATGAAACAACAAAAATTGGGGATGACTATATGGTTAAGTGGTAGGGCATTTGCTCACAAGTCAAGGCCTAGATTTAATCCCTTAGGATAAATATAAATAAAAATCACTTCCCATAGAAGAGAAAGAAGAGAAATGCTATCCCAGCTCTTACCTGGTAAGTGATATCAGGCCTTGCGGGCTCAGCAGTACTTCCTCCACTGAAGCCCCCAGTGATGGCATGACCGATAGTGTGGCCAACAGCAGAGCCCACGGCCACACCAGCTGCAGTGCTCGCCATCTGGGCCATGAGGCCAGGCTGGCGGGGGGCAGCCGCTGGGGAGCCCACAGCAGATGGCGGAGCCGCAGCTGGTGGCTGAGCCACTGGTGCTGGCCGGGGTGCAGCTCTCATCTGTGGTGCCCGGCTGTGAAAGAAAAAGAAAACTTTGTTCCTGCTTCTAATTAGGTCTACACATTGTCAACTTAAAACAGATTTTAAAATAGAATCACCCTGAGATACACAGTTACAAAGCTATTCATGATTTTCAGTCCTACAATGTTCCAACACCCGGCTGGTCATCAGTGCACATTTCCCCTGCCAACACAACTTGAAACATTTACACCCTTTGATCTGTAACCTTTAACAGCGGAAACTGACCAGCGTAAACTATTTTGCTTGCAACCTTGTGTGCTTATAGGCTACAGTTTGGTTTTTGGGGGACACTCTTTTGGCAATGCTCAGGGCACCGTATAGAGTGCCGAGGGTGGGCGTTGGGGGGGGGGGGGGTTAAACCTCATAAAATGACAAAATAATAAAGAACTCAAAAGAACCAGTGATGTTTATTCTTCATTGTACTGTAGGTGCTGGGTACATAACAAGGGACCAAAACCTGTGCCTTCATGGAAGTGACATTCTGCTGGGGGGGGAGGGGATCGTGTCACAGGGTATTAAGTGTCAAGGGAAACCCACAATTTTCCTCCTGAGGGGCATCTGAATGTTTTCAGTAATGAAATCCTCAAATTTATAAGCTCCCCCTGCCATTTGCTCGCTGCGCTCTTTGCCCTTCCCCTCGATACGTCAGCCTGCGTACACGTCTGACTTCACTTCCGAGCAAGCGTGTACAAAGGACCTTTTCCCTTCCTTGCAGGTGGGAGGGACAGATCACCGGGTTAAAGCAGTTGCACCTCATAAAAAGTCCCCCCTCCACCACCACCACCTGGCGTGGGTCCTGAGCACGAAGCCAGGAGCAGGAAGCGCCGAGCTCTGCCAGGTGTGGGCCCCTGAATAAAATTAAAAAAAAAAAATCGATCCTTTCCGTAAACAAACGCGGCTACACTTCTCTCTTATCTCTGCTTGCTAGGTTTTTGTGCCACACCCGACTGAGCTCAGGGATCACTGCTGGGGCCCGAGGGGGAGATTGCAGCGTGCAAGGCCGGTGCCAGACCCCGTAGTGTATTTACTATGACTGCCCCCTCCCCCAACCCCCGTGCTAGCTCCCCGCCTCCGTCCAGCCACACTCCGAACACAGCTCCCGCGCGACTCGGAACTCCGAGTCCCTGCCCCAACCCCGGCCCTCGGCCCAAAGGCTCATCCAGAGGATTCTACGGCCGGCGACCCCCTCCGGCGCTGTCACTGGCCCCACCTAGTCCAAGTCATTAGGCAGGGAGTGTCCACTGAACTTGACACCCCCCCCCGGGGGGACTTGAGACCTCCTCGGGGGGAGGGGGGGGATTAGGCAAGCGTCGACCCGACTCCACTATCCTATTCCTCCTCTGCTGCTCCTTCCGGCGTTGCAGCCCGTTAGCACCCGCGCCCGCTGCTTTCTAGACGTTTCGCGGGCCTAGATTTTGCTGGCGGGGTCAGAGCCGGCCCGGGGCGGGGGGGGGGGGGGTGGCCCGCGCGGCGCCTGCGTGGGTCACTCGGGCCTCGCACGCATGGCGCGCTCTCCCGTGGTCCATCTCCCGGGTCCGAGTGGCCTGTTTCCAGCCAAGACGCATGCAAGTATTTTAAAGGACGACCCTGGCCGCGAGGCCGCTCGACAACACAGGGGAAAAAGCGGGACAAGGCCCCGGCCAGCGGCCTTCGGACGACCTCGGCCTCCGGCTGCGTCACGGCCCCCCCCCCCACCAACCCCCGCTCGGGCTCACCTGGCCGGAGGGGCCACGCGGGAGGTGCGACTTCGGCTTCCACGCGGCATGATAACGGCACAGGAAACTCGGCGTCTACAAGCGCGAAACTGAGGAACCCTCGGGGTCTTCAGAGGCGGCCGCAGACTAGGACGGCGGAAGGCGGGGGGCGGGGCTAGCCGTCGGAGCGACCAATCAGCGCCAAGGCCCTCGCTCGCGCGCGTCGCCGGCGCCCTGAAGGTCACCGGCCGAGCCGGCGTTGGTGCGGCTGCGCCGGGCTCGCGATTGCGTCATCATCCCGCGAGCCAATGAATGACGAGGCCGGAAGTTCTGGCCCTGGCCCCTCGCAAAGCCCGCCCCGGGCGGAGTCGTCAACTCCAGTTCTTCGGTTCCGGGGCTGGAAGACCGTTGTTGTCTGCCCTTGGAGCTGAGTGCTTACTCACGTGGTAGATCATATTGATGTAGGCAGGTAGATAGGGAAAGGCCCTTGGTCAATGAAACAGGTCAACAAAACTTCTGGGAAGGAAAATTCTACGGCTGATCCACCCTGTGGACACAGAAAACAAACACCTGATAAGACCTTCAGCAGACCATGAGGAGATTGGACCCCTCCCCAGGAAGTTCCTCAAAAACCCTCAGCCGGCTGCCTTAATTTTAATTAATTTTGGTGATTCAGCACAGAGTAGATCCAGCAGGACCAAAAGGTCAAGAAAAGGACTTTCAAAGGCTGCATCCAATTCTACCCACTTAGCAACAACCCTAGCAATGGATTCATCTAGGTAGATGCCCCGGGCGGGGGCAGGTTGGAAAAAACCCTATAAAGGCCAACTTGTAGGAAGGAAGCAGTGCATATGCTGCCTGAGCCCATGTGCTCCTTGTGCCCACGTGGCGGAGCACATGTGGTGCCTGAGCACATGTGTCACAGGCATCTTCCCTCTTGCAATGTGTATTTTCATGCTTTCGTGTCTAATGCTGGGATGCTCTAATGCGCTCTCTGCCCTTGGAGAAGTCCAGGTTCTCTCTTGAGCATGTTGTTCTCTCACTCTCTCCCTCTAGACACCTTCAAAAACCCTCCAAATAAAATCTATTTGCTTCACTGCTTGTCTATTCCTGAAATTCCTTTCTGCGAGGCGAGACAAGAACCCAGTAACCCTGGGTCCCGAGTGGCAGAGGCAGGAGAAAGTGACTGTCATTCTCCTCCCCACTTTACATGAGCCACCCATGGGCCCACGACATCAATATGCCATACTGAAAGTGTCACACCTCAGGGGCTGGGTGAGAGCCCTCCCCGCCCCAAGAGACCCAGCCCTTCAGAACCTGACCACCCCCATGCTCAAGGTCACTCCCCACATGCTTGGGCCGAGCCTCATGTTCCTAGGCCCTATCCATTCTCCATAACTAGCACACCACATTTGATGGGGTTCAAATAGTACACAACAAATCATAGAGAGAAATATATATATGTATATGCATGTATACATAGTTTCATATATATATATGAAAGCTCACATCACTCAATCTTTAACAACTTGTGAGTTATATTCTAAAGAATGTCTTAATGGCCCCAGCCAAAATAGAACAATCTTCACACTGTCTCCTCTACAGATACTTTTTTGTAGCATTATCAGTGGTTTTCCATAACAGACGATACAAAATATATTATTTTGGTTGTGCTTTGGGACAGAGATTGGGGCTTTGGTTGGAAACATCCCAAATTTGGTGGTGGGAAGGTGTAATGGTGGTGGCGTTGGTGTTTGAATATTAAATGTAATCAAATATTGCGAATCCCTTATAAAATAAAAAAATTAAAGAAGGAAAGTGAGTCAGGTCTTGTGAGTCACTATTCTAGTGTGACTACAACAAGTTACTAAGCTTCTGGCAACTGTTTTGTTTGTTTGTTTTTGGGCCATATCCGGCAGTGCTCAGCGTTTACTCATGGCTCTGAACTCTGGGATCCAACCCGGGTTGCCGCGTGCAAAGCAAAAACCTTACCTGCTGCATGGCAGGTGCCCTGCCACCAAGCCACATCCCTGACTTACTGTATATTTTTTATTTTTTTAAACTGTATATTTTTAAAACTTTGTTTATATTGTGAAGCAGTCAACTCTCTCAGGCAACCCTTTCAGGAGTCAGGCCCAGGGCCGAGTGCCTTCTGCAGCCAATGTCACGGTCATGGTCACGGTCCTCTCGTTATTCATCGATTTGCTCGAGCGGGCCCAGTAACATCTCCATCGTGAGACTTGTTACTGTGTTTGGCATATTGACTACGTCAATGTAACAAAAATAAAATTTTATAAACTGTCACTGTGAAACTACAAAGCCATTCATGATTAAGTTTTAGGCACACAGTTTTACAACACCGAACCCTTCACCAGTGTCCACTTCCCTCCACCCTTGCCACCTGACCCTCCCCCACAACCTACCTCACTCCCACCTGTCTGTGAGGAGCTCATATACGTATATATGCACTTTTATTTGCATTACTGTTAATGATATACATGACTAGCGTTTTGGCCACACCCAGCGATGCTCAGGGGTTACTCCTGGCTCTGTGCTCAAGAATTACTCTTGGTGGGGCCAGAGCAATAGCACAGCAGGTAGGGTGTTTGCCTTGCATGCGGCCGACCCAAGTTTGACCCCCAGCATCCCATATGGTCCCCCAAGCACCGCCACGAGTAATTCCTGAGTGGAGAGCCAGGAGTGACCCCTGAGCATCGCTGGGTGTGACCAAAAAAGGCAAAAAAAAAAAAAAAAGAATTACTCCTGGTGGTGCTCGGGGAACCACATGGGATGCCAGGGAATTGAACCCGGGTCAGCCACGTGCAAGGCAAATGCCCTACCTGCGGTACTATCTCTCTGGCCCTTCATGCATAACACTTTAATGAAAACAAAGACCATGAGATCTGGTAGGTAACAACATACAACTTGAGGGGGCTGAGAGATAGGACAGGGAGGGGGCAACATCCATGTGGAGATTGATCTGAGAGAATATGTTTTTTTTTTCTTTTTGGGTCACACCCGGCGATGCTCAGGGGTTACTCCTGGCTCATGCAGTCAGGAATTGCTCCTGGTGGTCCTCAGGGGACCGTATGGGGTGCTGGGAATCGAACCTGTGTCGGTCATGTTGGCTGCGTTCAAGGCAAATGCCCTACCCGCTGTGCTATTACTCCAGCCCCAGAGAATATGTTGTTTTTGAGTCCACACCCAATTGCTCAGGGTTCAGGGGACCACATGGGGAAGCAAACTTCCCCGCTGTGCTATCACTGGCCCCATTCGTAGCTAATTGGTATCTTTACTTGGACTAGACTTCGGTTACCGGTGACTCATAATCATGATAGGATTTGCTCACTGATTTAAGAGATAAGCTCCACTTAAGGCTCTGCGAACGGAACGTCAGGTGGAGCCAGAAAACACGCGCGCGCACACACACACACACACACACACACACACACACACACACGGTGAAGAAAGGGAGGGATTCCTGACTGGAGAGGGTATATGACTTTGGGAGGCAGCAGTTTGAAGAAGTCGTGGGGGCAGGGGAGATTAAGCGAAGCCAGTGTGTATCCAGGGCAAAGGCGCCCACACAGGAGAACTGCAATTGCAGGCCCCAAAGGTCCAGGAAATAAAGAGAGAGGGCTGGAGTGGCAGTATAGCGGGCAGGGTGCTTGCCCAGCGCGTGGGGCGGAGAGCGGTGGAGAGGGATCATATGAGGCTTCCTGGGAAGGTCCTTGGGGGTAGGGTGGAATTTTTGAAAGAGAAAATTTAAAGTGGAATCTCCGTTTCTGCTCAGATGTTAGTCAGAAATTTCTTGCTTCCACCAGAGACAATTAAACTCTGCCTTTCCCTACAACAGCAGAGCAGTTTGTTGAACTGTGCGGGTGAATAATGCAAAAGATCTTTCTGCAGAACTTAAATGAAAGCTTTACAAATGACAAACTTCGTATAACAAATTAATAGAGATGAAAGTAAAGTAAAATAAAGTAAAGTAAAGGCCCTCCCATTGATCATCGATTTGCTCGAGCGGGCCCAGTAACGTCTCCATTGGAGACTTTGTTGTTACTGTGTTTGGCATATCGAATACGTCACGGGGAGCTTGCCAGGCTCTGCCGTGCGGGCGAGATACTCTCGGTAGCTTGCCGGGCTCTCCGAGAAGGGCGGAGGAATCGAACTCGGGTCGGCCATGTTGGCTGCGTGCAAGGCAAACGCCCTACCGCTGTGCTATCGCTCCAGCCCCAATAGAGATGAAAAGCACATACAAAGAAGAGCCTGGCTCAAGTGAGCAGAACTATAGCATTATCCTCCCGTTGTTCAACTATTTGCTTGAGTGGGCACCAGTAACGTCTCCATCGTGAGACTCGTTGTTACTGTTGTTGGCATATCGACTACGCCATGGGGAGCTTGCCAGGCTCTGCCATGCAGGCAGGATACTCTTGGTAGATTGCCGGGCTCACCAAGAGGAACGGAGGAATCGAATCTGAGTTGGCCACATACAAAGCAAACGCCCCACCTGCTGTGGTATCGCTCCAGAACTATAGGCAATCAGTAATGAAGCAGGCAGACAGGTGAGGTAAATAGGGAAGGGCCCCTATGGCAATGAGTTCTTGGGAAGTAATAAAACCAACTAGCCCTAAGGATGTCAGGATCTGCCTCGTGGACATTGAAGTTCAGCAGGAACCCAGGCCTAAAAAAAGAAAATCAAAGAAGACCATCAACCACTTCCAACTCTACCCCCACTGGCAATGAAAGAGGAAACCTTCGTTTTCCCTTGCCAGTAACAGAAGATGCCAGTTTTCTCTCTCCAGATGTTCCATCTCTCCCCCATCAACCTGACACACATTCCGCCGCCAAGGTTCTGTCTCAGCATTCCTGGGGGCTTCCCAGGATCATCAAACTCTGCCCTGGACTGTTAGGCTAACAGGGAAACTAAGATAATGGGCAATCCTGGAATCTAGGCTGCCGGGGAAACCGAGATAATTGGCAATTAGTCTGGAAGATATGTTTCCCCTTGCCAGTGAAGAAGGAAGCCGGTTTCCCCTCCCTGCCTTTCCCCATTGAGCTGACACATTTCATTCCCAAAGTCCTTCCCTAGTGGTCAGGGATTTCCAGGACCATAAAATTCTGTCCTGGAGCCTAGACTTACGGGGAGATTAAGATAAGGGGCTAGCATGGCCAGAGAG